ACAACTTTTAGTTTTTAATTTATTTTAGTAAGTTGTCTTAATTTTTAAACTAATGGACCCTCAAATTTTTGTGGCTTCATACTTGGGATACTCTTTGAAAGCTGGCAGCATTAACAGTTTATATATCGAAAAATATATCGTTATCGATCAACATGGGAAAAAAATGATCGAGATTACATTTTTGCCATATCGCCCAGCCCTATTCAGGAGCTACTCTTTTGTCTAAATGCTGTGGGTTTAGCTTGAGAGGAGAGGCCAAATTGTTGATAACATTAATACAGTGAGATTTTGTTATCCAACATCTAGAGGAAGATTCAGGTGGTTTACTGTCCACGTTCATCCTGGATCTGACTGAAGGTTACATACAGTCAGGGAAAAAATTATTTGAACCCCAGCTGATTTTGTAAGTTTGCCCACTAACAAAGAAATGATCAGTCTACAATGTCAATGGTAGGTTCATGTGAACAGTGAGAGACACAACAATAACAAAAAAATTCAGAAAAATGCATTACAAAAAAAAGTTATACATTAATTTGCATTTTCATGAATGAAATAAGTATTTGATCCCTTTGCAAAACGTGCTTTAGTACTTGGTGGCAAAAGTTAGCTGACATAAACACAGCTTAAACATATTAAATCTTTTCATTTGCTGATACTGTAGCCTGCCTCTGTCAATCAGCTGATATGTTTCCCATTAGAAACTTGGATACATTGTTTTTTTTCCCTCCAATGTCTCAGATACAACAAGCTGAGTCGTAACATCAGAGATCTTGCCCAGAAAATCAGAGACCTGGATGAGAGAGATGGCTTCAGAGCTCAGTGCACACATCAACTACTGGAAAAACTGTGAGTGCCAGGATGTAATGACCATGTTCTGCCATGTTGTGTTTACTGTATGTTGTGTTCACTCTTTGCAGTTTGGTGTAATATTATAGCCCATTCTAAACTTCAGTTAATATCATACTTGTTTCTTCACACAAGGTATAGCATCGGCCTCATCCCCACCAGACAGAACCTCTCCCTCACGGAAAAAGTCACAGCGTCTTCATTTTGCAGGTAAATAATCATGCATCCCGTTACATACTGTGACTGTTGATATTCAGTCCATGGATGGCACCTGTCCATTTTCTGTGCTTCCGATCTCCTGTGACTCCTACAGGCGGAGGTTGCCAAGCATCATGCTGAACCTCCGTATGGCTCAGAACCTGAAGACAGCCATCACCTTCATTGAACAAGGACGTATCCTTCATTAGTGCGAGAGTTTACACCCACAAAATGTCTTATACTCTAGCATACTGTAGCTGTTTTTTCTAAAGCATTATATCGTGTTATTCCTGACACATATTACAGTTAACTAACCCCAAGGGTCAAATTTATTTTGCCATATTGTCCTTGAATCAGATTCAGATGTGCGTGTTGGCCCAGACATTGTTACAGACCCAGCATTCCTGGTCACAAGGTTGTTCCACATTTCCTTTTGTCCATTTACATTTCTTTACAATTGCTTGATGGAGCTTACGCCCTTTTACACAAACTGTACATTCTGTAAAAACAAGAAGCTAACAGTAAAGATGGCAGTTTAAAAGCACCTCATGTGACTAAACACTGACCCTGTTATTATGACTCTTTCAGAAATATGGAAGATTTTGTCACTTGGGTGGACTCTTCAAAGATCAAGCAGCATGTCATGAATTACAATGATGAGGTGAGTGATTTTTCAGAAAGTGCTTACAGATTTTTTTTTTTTTAAGGAAAATGCTTATTTGCTGTAGTGTCAAGTGAATAACCATCTAGTGTTTGAATCAGTCATAAAACATACACATAGAAGTTTCATTCATCATTCTTCAGGAGGCAAAGCATAATTCTGATACTGTAGAAATGAAATTGTTTCCTTTGCAGAGGGACGACTTTGATCTGTTGTCGTAAGTTTGTTTGCCTACTGTCGTCACCCTGGAGGGCAGGAACAAGAACTGTGCCCTGAAAAAGCCTCCAGCTTTGAAACTGTTGAAGGAAAATCATATGTGAGTCTCACCACATTAGTAGCCATGACCTCACTGAGCAAGGACGGAAGGACTGCACTTCCAGGCGCTGTACTGTTCACCAAACATCTTTCTTTTTATCTGGTCAGAATTTGTCATGGAATTCTGACCTACTGACAGTTGATAACCCAATCAAAATATGTCAGATTTTGTATTTGTGCCTGTCACTATGATCATTTCACTCTTTACTTGGAACCTGCTCAGTCAACCGTAGCACAAGAGCACAGTGTCTCACTCACTTTATCCAGTGGAGCCACTCCAACATTGGTCATCATCACATTCTGTTCCTTCTCCTTTAGCTCTATTGTTTGTGCTGCATAAAGTGTCTTTGTGTGAACATTACTCCTCGGGTTGGTATATGTGTGACAGGCATGTGTGTACTGAATATACTAAACACAAGGACTGTGGCTCTGTAATATTAACATGTCATACACACAGATGTGAAATAGAAACTGACAAGTTGATAAATATTTAATCATTTCCATAAGACTTTGTTGCAATGTAAACAAAACACATTTCTTGTTATCACAGTGTTAGGACTTTTACCAACCTTTGCATAGGTTTACATATGCTGAAACTTAAAGAAACCCAAGTAACAGTGTAAACATTGATTTATCAAAACCCTCCCCCTTAACATTCCAGTAAAGACGGTTACATGCACTCACCATAAACCATTTACTTCCATACAAAAAGTCCCATCACAAACCTATGGCTCAATCTATACTCTGTGTATAGCATCACTCGGGTGAAGAAGGCATAGAGACAACATTGACCTTCAACATGAATAGATTGTATGACACCTTTAAGGCACCCTGGTATAACAGGAATGTAACAGGGTCTGTTAAATGTTTAATACCCTCTTTCTGGTATCAAAGTCCCTGTTTGAAAGTCCATTAAAGCCACCAGAAACGCACATAGATGATGAGTGTGATGAAACACACTGCCACAGCTGCCACCTTGGCGTACATGGAGCGAGTGTTGAGGTATTTAGCATCGCTCCGGTACTTCTTTGACAGGGTGGACAAATTGCTGGCTTTAGTGTCTAGCGCTGAGGGACAAAGAAGTATCAAGATAACATGACCTGGATGTTTCCTTTGCAAGAAATGTATATTTCGTTTTGAAAAGTTCTGTAACGGAACTAAGTAAAAACTGCAAGAAAAGTAGAGAAAGTGATTTACAAGTGTGACAAGGACTCATCAGAATCTAGTGTTTTCCAAAACACCACCACAAAATGATAATTTTCACAAAGGCAGTAGTAATAGCAAAATTACAATTGGTTACACTATGTCATGGGGTTTTCTTTGTGCAGCAAACTTGGTCAGAAATGCTTTTTCTGTTCCTGTACTTACCAGAGAGAGCTTCTCCTCTCTGTAGAACTTCCTCAATATTTGCCACCATAATCTTCTGGACATCCTGTAGTTCCGTGTTGATACTACCCAGATTCCTCCTGGTCCTGTTGTCAACATACGTCTTCTTTTTTTTCTGGATGTATGTGTCTGAAATGGTGTGTGAATTACATGGTCAATTTTTTTTTTTTTTACAGAGAGTGAACAATAAAATGTTTCTTCAGTGTACTGCAAAGAGATCACAAAAAGTCTTACCAAATTCTATGAAAGAGTATGGCCTCGTTACCGTGGACACTTTTTTCCCATACAGGTAATGGAACTCAGTGTGGAGGTCTTCAAGGTAGGCAAAAGCCATCTTTTTGGGAAATGAAGCCTCACAGAGGGAGAGGTAGCACACATCCTCTGCTATTAAACAGCTATAAACATGACATGAGTTCGGTTCAAATCAATGGTTATTTATAATCACCTTTATGCCTGTAATATGCATTGAACCCCACCAAACCTAATTTGCGGTACTACAGGAGTAACACTTCTGTTAAAGGACTCTCTGCACTCTTAAGTGAACAATCTGTGCTAGCTTACTGAAAGTACATGTCCCCGGCCTCCAAGATACAGCGGGCAGGACTCTGCGCATTCAGTTTGCGGCATAGCTGCTTGGCTTGGCTCTGGTACTGCTGGAGGTCTCTTCCTGACTGAAAAAGGGTAGGCAAAGACATGCTCATGAAGTAACAAATAATCCAAAGGCCATGATAATTTAGAAGAAGGTAAATATAGTTGACAATTTAATTGCTCATTAGCAGAAGAAGCTAAAGTTGGAAAGCCGAAACCTTATACAAAATAATATTTTTGGCAAACAAAACGTAATAAACGACTACAATTACTAAACGATTATGTAAATACACTTTAAGCTGCTTTTACTCCCACAGCTCTTCATTGAAATAATTTATACACAGCGTTGGACAGGAACAAATGTAACTACGTAATTTAGCTACGCTATTTGGCGTTTAGCTAGTAAACAATTTTTTAAAGTTAATGTTTTGTTAAAATAAATGTCTCAATATACTACAAAGAATCAAAATAGTCTTTAATCTTGTTTTGCGATGTTACCATACACCCTTACGGAAGCTATCCGTCGTTAAACGCAATTGTTATTGAATGCTATTTGGCTTGTAGCTACTTTTCATACAGAGAGCGTATATGGCCCACATTATGGGGAAGCTATGTATCCTACTTGTTCATCCTCCTGTACGGACGCAGCGAGCGGTAGCCCGTCCGCTATACGAGCGATTATTGTTAGTAAAATCATAGTGACTGACGTCCGTAATCCGCGGCGTCAGTTGTTGGCTTTGCCAGTGATAACGAATTTAAGAAACTTTGTATTGTTTACTGGCAACTTTGATGACACGGGATGGGCGGAAGTTCGTGGTGCACCGGTGAATTAGGCCCGAGTGGAAACTGTTAACTTAGTCAATTTTTCATCGCATAAGGAGGAAGGCTAGCCTAAAATCGCATCGACAGGGAAGTTGAGGTTTTGTGTCCTGCTAATACTGCAAATAATAATCATTCCTGGAACAACATTTATTTTTATTCGCTGTTGTTTCACTCGCGTCTTTCTTTTCAAACCAGTAGGCGCTATTTGATCACTTTAGCCGAGTATCAAGCCATGAGCTCCAGCAGTCCGAGCAGACAGCTGGCAGACGGTCTGACTGCATCTCGACTGCTGATGCCTGTATTGAGCCGAGGGGTGCAGATGCGACCTGTCCTGCTCCTCCATCTGGACTAAAACCAGAGGAAGGACCCTTGAACCATGCGTAAACCAGAAAGGTAGGCCACTGCTCTTGCATTTATTTTGTTGGTGTTTACTGGGCTCCGTCTAGGTGGTCTCGTCTCGGTGTTTCCTGCTGGCCGTGGGATAGCTACTCTTTTCGCAGCTTTTGTTATTATTTGTAAAAGAGACACTGATTGCCTTTCTCTGATATTGTAAATCAAGACGTGGCTCGATATTTTGCAGCTTTTGATAGAATGCATTTCCACTTACTTTCTTAGTCGTTTTTCTAAAACTGTAGTATATATATAGTATGTATAGTATACACCGTGCATGGGATGCAGCTGCAGCTTTTATGTATACCCTATGAATGCAGGCTACACATAGAAGCTGGTAGTAAAGAGGACACGAATCTGTCAGCTGATCATACTGGGATCAACCACTTTGCGTTTTCCCGATCCTAAAGCAATACACAACCAGGTGGTTTGGTCGAACATACTGTTACGTTAGCCATATTGTTGCGACTCTTACAAGCCGATAGAGCGGTGGAGATGGGCGTGCGAGGCCACAGCTTAATCCTCTGAGCCCCCCAGAAACCCCCTCCTCTAGTAAACGAGCTTGGCACGGTGGTATCCTCGCAGCCTGAAAGGCCTTATTGTTGCGGTGCAGCCGGCACCGACGTGCGCACCCTCTCACTGGTGTTTTCCCAGACTGGTGTGTGGATAATTCACGACGCCGCTACACTGTCTGATACTGTCTTTTCCGGAAATAGATTGAGATACCCGTGTTTTTAATTCAAGGGTGGGGCGCTTCATGACTAATTGGTGACTAAAAATGTGCATCTCTCAAGCCGAAGTTCAGGGGATTTCTTCCTGTGCAAAATGAAGACTACTACAAGACCACATTACTGGATGTCCTAATAAGGACAGAAGCTTCTCAGAGGATTTCCCTAGAGACAAATCCTTCATCACAAGGCCTGTCTGTTATGTGAGGCTTTTCTGCCTGGTGGCCTTTGCTCACAAACTAAGTTTGTGTATCATATCGTACCGTATTGTTACATCCTTAATAGATAGAATAATAAAGTATATTTAACCCCCCCCCAATCTGCCCCCAGGTGTACTTCTCATGCTTAGGGGTGAGGAGGAGAACAGCTGAGGAGGAGGAGATGGGTTGCACCTCTGCCAAGCAGGTGTCTGCCGTGCCCAACGATGAGGAGGGCCAGAATAAATCCTACAGCAACGGGGACCTGGTCTCTGGTCAGTGTTTATACTGTACACGTCAAAGTGATTGACTGCAGATGCTGAAGAGTTCTTTTATGGAGGTAGAAAACAAGATAAAAGTTCACAAAGTTGAAAAGATGGAAACAACAACCGTCATACTTTTTCAAGCTCAAAGTGCCTTTATTGATTTAGAAAACAGTTTCCGCTTATGTGTATAAATGTAAATAGTAGGGATGTAACAATATTTGTAATTTCATAACTTATCATTTAGTAAAGGGCATTTTTTTCATATTTTTCCTTCATCGCGATAAATACCATATCATGGACTTTCTATCGTGATGGTATCGTACCGTATTGTTACATCCTTAATAGATAGAATAATAAAGTATATTAAAAACATAATTTTATCTGTATGATTAACTCTGACTCTTCTAAGTGGAAATCACTGCTGCGATGAAGAAAAATTTAGTTTCTCTTTTTAAAATCTGTAAATGAATGAATGAATGAATGAAGAAGTGCAATCTTAATCTAGCCTTAGAAATGGTTAAGTGCGATCTTAATCTAGCCTTAGAAATGGTTAACGTTAATCAGTAGCAGACTGGTGAACCTTGTTGATTGTCCAGTTGACCCTTAGGTAGGTGTGCATGGTCAAAATGCTGTCATCTGTAAGGCAAACGTCACCTGTTACAGGTGTCTAGTTACTGTTGGCTAATTTTATTATCATAAAGAAAAGTTATTTAAAAAAATACAGCTGCTCCAGATTAACATAACAAACTGCTAATAATAAAAATGTGATAATGATGTCTTAGAACTGTGTGAGACCATCATTACTATGCATATCTGTACATTTCCTCCTAACTGTGTGGGAGCGAGACATACGAGGGGGCTGTGCATGTGTGAGAGAGAAGACGCAGGCTGACAGCTTATGTGTTTGCCACTTGCCAACCATTGTTAATGGAGGATTTAGTCAGGAGTGTGAGAATTTAAGCCCATGCAGTAATTAATTTGCCAAGTACTGACCTGTGAGAATTGTTATCCCAGAGGACTGTGCTGATTGGAGTGTCTGTGAGCGGTCTGTGTGCCTGATGTGTAATAATAAGAGGAGATGTACTCTCTGCCTTCCTGTCGCCCACTTTGTTACAGATGAGTACAAGGTGAAAAGCATGGATAAAGTCAAATACATCAGCGGAGAAGAGGCAGGAGTGGACAGCCAGGACAGCGCAGTGCGTGACTTCTATTGTATTCTAATGTTAAGTCTCTAATGGGATTTTCACTGTATTTAATGGCTTCTGTTTGTTAAAGACAAACTTTATATTCATACACTTTTGTTCAGATTTTAAATCACTGTGCTGCAGATTAATAAAGGAAAACAGAAGACATGTAATGAAATGCTAGAAGTTTTTAATGCCCACCTTTTTTTGTTGTTTTTCTTTTTGAACAAATTCATATAAACAGCTACGTTTAAAATATTGTCATTATAAAATGATGTAAGGCAACTGTAGAACTTTTAATTGTATTTTAGCATGAGATAGAATAAGACAACTAGTAGATTGTGTGCATTTTTGTTTATTTGTGTGATGTGCCACAGGAGAAAAGTGCTCTCCTTAGTAAAGGTCAACATGCGGATGAAACTGGATCTAATGGAAATGGAAAGATACTGTGAGTCTTAGTAATCGATGTTGCTGCTTCTGCTCTTGAAATTCCCCTAACATCTGTTTATAGTGTATGTTGTGCATTAGTGGCGTGTTAGACTGATTTGATCAGCTGTCATCTAAACCTGTTGTCGTGCCTTAAGTTATACTGAAAAGCTGTACCCTGCTGTACCATTTCGCTGTTCCAGGAGCATCCACTCCTCAGAGAGCCAGCAAGAATTTTTCAGGATGTTGGATGAGAAAATTGAAAAGGTAAGGAATGACAAACCTTCGCTGCAGCATCACTTTGCTTTTGTGTTTCTGCTGAAAAATCCCTCAGCTAAATGACATAATGGATGTTAATCCTATTGCTGGTGCAAATCTGGACTGAGTGAGGACACAGCAGATGATAACATGCACCGTCCCCAATCTGTCATGTCCAGCACAGTCTGGTCTTTTAAAGTAGGAATGTTGAAAACATGTTTTACTGACAGTGTCACTGCATACGGTCACAAAGAAAAGTGGTTTAGTTAAAGTGTAGTCCAGGCTTTTATATGTTCTTTTCTGTGGCATGAGGCAGTTTAGTCACATTCTGTATATTAAAGTACAGGGCTGGCATTATTCTGTAGTGCTCCCATGGTCATGAAAAGACTAAAACAAGTGATGAATTGGCTCTGCTAACAAGTACTGTATGTCTAAAACTTGACAGAACTTAGTCCTCTGTGAGGAATAGGCTTTATTAACACAGTTCAATGAGCCACACTGCTGATCTGGGTGACATGCTTGTTCATTATGATGAACATTGGCAGTAGTTTATTTGGAGCTGGTCCAATATGCACAGACCTGCTGCTGGAACCAGTCCCCAGCGCAGCACATTTGCATTAATCTGCAGCTAAAAACAGTCCCCAACAAATGCCCCTTAATGTTTGTGGAAAAACTGTTTAGTGACATTAGTTAGACTTTTTCAAATACAAGTATTTATTTATTTTAAGGTTTGTGTTCAGAAGGAACTAATTCAAGAGCTTTCAACCAGTGGTCCATGCATTCCTGGTGGTCTGTGACACAGGTGTAAGAAAATATCAATACACTTGAGTATCACGATATTATGCTTTGTAATACTGTATCAATTCTCAAAAGCATGTCGATTTTTTAATCCATAGTTCACGTCAAGCAGTGCTGCTGTTGGATGCTACAGGGACTATGACAGAAAAAACTTTCTGACATGACATTTTATGCATATGGCCGTGTTGCTTATTTTGTCAGTTTTCTAAAAGAAGATTTAAAAAAAAAATTGCAACATATCGCCTTGGTAACAGTATATCGAATTGCAAACCCTGTATCGTGATATGTACCATATTGCAAGATTCTTGCCAGTACGCAGTCCTAGTCTGAAGGCGTGGCAGGTGGCCCTGGCCATGTATTCAGTAAAGTCAAGGTGATATTCAGGAGCTAAGAGCCACACACACGGTCCTGAAACAGCATAACCTTAACTTTTTATACAAGTATTGAAATGACATTAATAATGTGTGTGTGTGTGTGTGTGGGTGGGTGGGTGTGTGTGGGTGGTTGTGTACAGTAAATATAACTTGTATTAACATGTCTCTGGTTCGTATCCAGGGTCGGGACTACTGCTCAGAGGAAGAGGATATTACATAGCAGTGTGATCTGGTACCTGCCCATCCAGGTTTGAGAGGAACTGTCATTGAAGTGACACAGATGAACCGTGCCACATGGCACCAAGGTCAGGGGGCCTTGTTTCGACTGTCCGAGAAGAATGGATTACAGCACTTTCTTGCCCTGCTGCTCACAACCTGCTCATCTGATTAACCCTGAGAAAGATTGAAACCAAAGTTAAAGATGGATCAGTGTTCACTCTCCAAAGGGAGAGAACTTGTACGATGAAGCTGATGAAATCTAGAGATCTTAAAGATCACTTGCGTTTGTTTTCATGCTTGGATACCTTCTGAAAGGTGAATATACGTGGCTATCACTGAGACCTTCTATACTCATTCAAAACACTCAGCAGCAGTAACAAGCGGCGCTGTTGTGGACGCTCACTCTTAAAGGAAAATAACGTTTCTATCTGCATCGTTTTGAATATTTCAACCTCGAACGCCGCCTTGAAAAGTCACTGGGTTTGAAAGACACAGTATGAGCCTCTTTTCTACAGTTCACTGGCCAGTACAGTGCATTTGTCTGTCCACGTCTGTGTCAGTGTAGAGTATTTATGTTGAATAAGGCTCAGGGTTGAAGTGTTGTACTGTCTAGTGTGGTTAAGTCCTTCTCACTGAGACACTGTTGCACCATTAAAGACACACCTACTCACACAGCAGGGTTACTGCAGTCCCCCGCTTCAGTATCTGTTCTGTGTGAACTCTACAGAGTGAGCACTGCAATGCCACATATTAGTCTGTGTTTCACTCACCAGTGTTATGTTGTTGTGTTCAGTTTCTATGTTGAATTGTTTTCTATAAAAATAAAGCATTTTCACAGTATCTTACCCACATAGCTGACACTGTTGTGCTGTTTCAAGAACTGGTACCACAGATGAAAGTGCAGAAAACAACCTGCAAATGAAGCAATTTGTGAACAATATACTCATAGATACCAATCAGCCTTAACATTATGACAACACTGTGTACAAAGGAGTCAGTGTGATACTCGGCTGGCACTCGTGTCACTGCAGCTCACTGTGAATCCGTTTGCTTCCACAGTTCTACTGTCAGGAAGAGCATGAATGTGTCGACCATTCAGTGGAAAACTTATGTAAAAGGAGTGAAAACTGGTTTTGAGGACAAGTTATTTTTCATTTTCAACAATTTTAACAAAGATTCAAACTAAATGGAATCTTTTGAAAAGTTGGAATGGAAATATAAAAATTTAATCTACAGGTCGACCTCATCATCAGTGAGCCTTGGATGATGGTTCACTGTTTGTCCTTCCTTAGACACTGTTGGTAGGTACTGACCACTGCAGACCAAGAACACCCAACAAGACCTGGAGTGTGGGAGATGATCTGACCCAGTCGTCAGCATCACAGTTTGGACCTTGTCAAAGTCACTCAGATCCTTGTGTTTGCTCATTGTTCCTGCTTCCAACATGTCAACTTCAAGGACTGAATGTTCATTTCCTGGCTAATATACCCCACACACTGACAGGTGACACTGTAACAAGGTAGTCAGTGTTGTTCACGTCACCTCTGTGGTCGTAATGTTATGGCTGAGTGGTGTATGTACCACAGTGCAGTGTTGATGAATATATACATATTCTGCACCATATAATAAAAATTAGCATCACACCAATGCAATGGAACAAATGAAAACACAAAGATCATTTGATGCTGATAGAACCCACTGGTATAAATGATATTTATCAGGTCATTTGAGCTTATGTAACAGTAATAATAATTCAGATCATTTCATTTCCACCCTTTCAAGAGCCACTATTTTCTGCTGGACTCTAGTCACATTGTGTGTAAAATGTTATGCGGATGCCCTGCAGTTTCACAATTTTTCAGGGAGAGTTATGTAGACACACCTAGACAGCTCTGTAGTGTGCTTACACTAGAGCTCCCCAACATGGCACCTGTGGCGGTAGTCGTAAGATAAATCGAGGGATCGCAAGACGAGGAACAGAATTGTTAAGTGCAAAAAACATTTATGCACAAAATTATATATTTTTCCCCTAAATGTTCCTTTTCCCTGTGAATGATTGGGTAATTACAAGTCTCCACCTTGTAAATGCAGTTCAAATAAAGCACTTCTTTGCTGACTGATTTACAGTCTATAAACAAATGTAACCAGTGATGACACGTTCTCTTGAAAACCACTGAAGTCCACTTCACAGCCACATACACCACCTGGAGGGTTACCATGGATGGGCCGAACGGCACCTTCTGCCATACTGTCAGTCCAGCCTTGTGGTCATGTCTCATACAGACAGACTGAGCATCCAGTGTCTTTGCTCCTCTGTTATTGTCTTCTGACTCTGCTCAGTGTTGTTGCCGTCTCTTCCGGTGCTGCCGGCGTCCCACATCCTGAAAAGGTCCTACAGGAGGGTCCGGTGTCACCAATCCATCAGTCATCCTCTGGTAGACCAGGGTGGAGTCGGATGCCACAGCACACAGCAGCACAGGAAAGCCCCTGTCCAGCACGTGTCGTATACTGCAAATCAGAGAGGAGGAGGATGACATGTGACAGTCTATAAACCAAAAAGAAGAGGCAGTACACTTCAGAGCTTCTCTGGTGTCTCATTACCTTTTGTGGCTCAGAGATTGGTCAACAGGCAGAGGAAGGACAGTGTGGACGGGTGCTCCTTCCTTCTCCCTCCCTTCCAGCAAAACCACCTGCAGTTCTGGACTCTTGACACATGACACCTCTTTCCACCGACGCACTGCGAAGGACAGGATGAGGGTTACTGTAAGGATGTAGTGCTCTGCTGATGAGATGACAGTGTTCTCAGTCACCACTGGATACTGATTTATCCTGCTTTTCTCTGGCTGGACAATTTTTGCATTTTACTCTAATCACGAGACACACACAAGTTAAAATAGTAGCTAATTTATGTGCTGCTTAGCACTAAAACTGCTAAATCTGTTTTTTTAAATGTATTTATTTATTTACTAAAACTATATATTAAGATTTCAAAAACGTTTGAAACATCATGTTACTAGATCACGGTTTAAAGAAAATGCAGCTGATCTATTGAATCAAATGAATTAAAGAACTAAATCCTGAGTATAATCCCGTTAAATGACCGTCTGGCAAACACAACCAAACAAAATGACACATCTGATCAAACTCACCCTCAGCAAGATCCATGTACACAAGGAAAGCGGCGTGCACCTGGGCGCTGTCCCCCACCTCCAGAGTCTTCATCTGCTGATACTAATACCAAAGAACAAACGCTGATTACTGCGAGATTTAACAGCAGGCCTCTGGATGCAGCTCCGGTACACCAACACTCACCGTGGGATGCACTAGGATCCAGTTCGGAGGAGGTGGTTTCTCTGTGACACCCGGTCTACCTGACGTTCCCAACATTTTTATTTTTTTAAATGTATCTACAAGCAAAATAGCGGTTTATTTAAACACAGCCCAGCGCCAGGACATACTGCTGGCCATACAGGATGCGTGAGCTATATTTTCGGGTTTTGCTTGCGTGCTGCATTTAAAGTCGTCCGGGTGGAAACTGATACTATTTTCTTCCGTTAAGCCTGCCAGTCAAAGATTCGGGGCGAAAATAGCCCATTGTCTACAATTGCCGAAACATTTATGATAAATTGATTTCGGTAGTTTTATTTATCCTTTATTACAAGGTTATATATTATGTCTGTACCTTCACCTTTATGCCTTATACTTTTTGATTCTACTACTAATTATAATAATACTAATTATTATCATATTTACTTTAGATGTATAGATTTGTACATATTTATTTATTTTAATGTGGACCACTTTTCACTTAGCGTGTGGAATAAAGTTTGAAATAAAAATGAAACAATAAGAATAAGAATAAACTCATCTCTTCATCTTCGTAGACTAAGGTACCATCTATTTTTTAAATCTTTTAATGTGACATTGTGATCTTACAGTGGCCTTATCAACCTACATGTCTTTATGACTAGTAAGCGATCAGTTTCATATGTTCCATGTAATAAGTGTTCAACATACTGTAAAATACATTTACATAATAAAGGCTCAAATCTGTTAACTACGGTTGTGGATGGTACAGTACAAGCAAAATGACGAGATTTGCTCAGTATCTAGGTAAAACATGAATTTTCTCACTTTAAGAAATTTCATTTTAATGTTGCAATATTTTTACATATTTTCTCATTAACAACATCAAATCTTTTCCCATTTAAACACAATATTTTGTATAATAATGAACCAAATAACATTTTGTGATATAGCCAAATAAAATGTTAGGTTTCTTGTACTATAAACAAAATATGTCGTAACAACATTGAACATAAACACGTTATTACATAAAAAGGATCTTTTAAAGAAATCTTAGAAAAAACTGAGCATTTTTTTCACCATGTTGGCTGTGATACTGAAATATGTAGTGCATGTTGGGACTGTAGGTTGGGAAAAAGGAGCAGAAGCGAATCCAACAGAGACAGGCCCGAGATGGAGACTTTAATGAAACGCTACAGTTGCACAACTCACATTAACCCCTCAGTTAAAACACAATTACAACCTCAGGTGCATAACTAGGTCAAGATGTCACTTCTGTCTTTCTGCAGTGGAGACATCAATTCATTTCGTCATTTGTTTAGGACTATGATCGATAATAGAGACAATAATCATCATCATCATAGAGATTCAAGGCGGTTTTTTGTTTTGGTTGAAAGTTTATAAAGGTCGACAATTTCATGCTCATAGTGCAGTGTAGCCACCCCCCCACCCCCAAAAAAAACACAGGAGATGAACAGTGATCAACTCAAACAACTTTATTTAAAGAAAAAAAAAAGCACTGGTATTTTCAAGCAAACAATGGAACCATTTAATATTAGTATTGTTCCATATCACAAAATGAGTTGTAAAAAGAATAATTAAGCCACACAAATTAGACCTTTTTTTGGGTAATAAATTAAACAGCATAACAAAAGAAATAAAACATGCTTGTACTTCGGTGTTGCACAGGAAATATTGAATCTCCAGTGCTCAAAGTTTAAGACACCTGAGAATATAAATATCAAAACAGCTTGTTGCAGCAATTATTTAGCTCCATGGTTCGTCTTATTTACCATCAATAAGGTTTTAAAATTACAATTATGTAAAAATTAGGCATCAATTTAAAAAAAAAAAACATCAATTGCTGTACAATGTGCATATCTGAATTAGTGTGGTGACGAGAAATTGTTGCTTTTGCTATTTATTTTCTTCTCAGCCAAGGCAGCGCAGCAACAATGGAATCCCAAGTGGATAATACTCGTCTGTCATCGTGCCACATTCACCGATATGAACAAAAAGATTTGGACTGAGCTCTTGCAATCAATGTCTGCGGTGAACTAACAGTCTACAGGCTGTTTTTTTTTTGTTTTTTTTTTACATATTATTATCACTTTTTCAACCTCTGGCAACAAAACCAGCTGCTGAGCTTTTATGACAGGGATTGTTAATACAAAAATGTATCCAGTAGATTCATTTACCACTGTCTGTTAACAACACAGGCTCTGCTGCTACACAGGTAGTAGTGATGTTGCATATAGAGACAAGATAAGGGCAAGGGTACAAAGCAGATGATCTAGCTGATAAAACAAATGTCTAAAAGGCTTTAAAGGAAATTCTAAAAGATGAGTTGGATGACTTTTGTACAGAGCACACAAAAAATCTGTGAGGTATGTTCTTCTTGTGATATTATAGCTATGAGATCTGGACACCCTGTGGTAGAAGCTGCTTCTATGTGTGAGGAGAGATGGAAGGGAAGATTTCCATTTTAAACTTTAAAAAAAAAAAAAAAAAAAGATACTGTATGTGTTCCTTTGTTAAACAGTCTGTGTGTTCGAGGTTACTGCCAGCAGCAACCAAAAACTATCAACAACCTCTGAATAAATGTGTACAAAACGTTAAAGCACCGCCTTCATTTGAGTGAGTACGGCTTCCATTAAGATGAGCAGATCAACAGTGAGGTGGTTTATGAAAACAGTTTGACGGAAATCAGCAAGAGTCTGCATCTGCTCTCTTTGATCTTAGTGTGGAGGAGACAAAAGATAACAGATCTACGTTTTACATCTTAAAACACACAAGTTCCACAACAAGAGATGGCCTAAATGACTAAGCAAACAAACAAAAAACTACAATTAACAGTTCTTTTACCACACTTTCTAAAGCACTTGGACAAAAAAGGCAGTTTTACAAACCATTGGTTATCAACATGAGCAAAGTTCCACAGTGCTTGCTTGTCGAAGCATTGTAACAGTGTCAGCCATTACAATATTCAGCCAAATACACCTGTCAGAAAAAAGTGCCATACTGCATAATGAGTATGTGTGATGAGCCCCCACGAGGGCATATATATATATACACCTATACAATGATCCAACTGTAAACGTGGTGCAAAGTAGTTATGACATAGTTTAAGGCTTTGAGAAATTCCTGAAGAAGTGTTGTTCGCTGAGATAAAGAAATATGTCCATGAGTCAGACAAACAGTGTGGAAACATTACAACATAAAATAAAAGATTTGACCTCTCTAGATTCAGACCCGGATGCTCTGTGTAAGCCATCAAATATCTAAACTACTTGAGCTTCGCTTGATTCAGTTAAACACAAATATTTCTTGTGACAATACATGAAGATTACCCAGTGTGTCGGCAACGCAGGAATATGTCTATTTGCTGAAATGTACTAAACAAGCTCGGAACTAATCCCTGTTTGTTTTGCTTTTTCCCCCCCAACAGTAGTACCAGATCCTTGCAACAGTGGTCATTTTAATTTTTATCAAACACAAACATAATCAATGGCTGCGTCTCATTTAGCAGTGCCTGTCATGTTGACAATGCAACTACACAGAATGGTGCCATTGCTAATGTTATTAGTTTCACATCCGCTTTTGCTGCTTTCACAAGTTTAAATATCCACCACAATTAAAGTAGTAGCTTTCTGCAGTCGGAGCAGGCTGACCATGTTTAACGTACTTTTATACTTAATATTCCAATTTTGATTCCCACATAAATAGTTGTACTAGGAATTTTATGTTCTGGTGTCTGGCCCCTGAGGAGTGGGGTGAAAACTTTTACTTTGAAGGTACAGATAGATGGAAAGTTAAAAGAAGAACCTGAATCAACGAGTGGTCTCTTCCAGGTTGACAGTGCCCCCCCATCCACAGGACAGGAGGGGTCACTGTAGCAGTCTCAAAATCAAGCTCAACTCATGTCAACATTTATCCCAAGATATCTGATACTGTTTCATACATACTTAAAAAAAACACACACACACACTGACACTCAAGGCAATGCCATCCTAATCAAGCATATACCATTACCCCTAATATAAGGACTACAGTTCATCACGTATTAATTCTGCTGTTAGTAGCATTACCATATTTCTACATTAAAAAGCTTAAAGCTTATATACATTTGCATCATTATTAGACATAATACTACTGTGTATTATGTGTCAGCACTTCATCAATGATAACTGATCTAAATGTAATGATGGCGTGCAAACAGCTTTTCTATAGCGAAATTTGATCCACTTCTTTGATCTATAGTTAAACTAGATGTACAAGAAACAATATAGACAAATAAACCCTCAACAATGGTTCCTAATGCAATAAAAAAGAAGGAATGTGTTACAGCTAAAATGTGGACTCAGCAAAGCTTAAAAAAAAAAGAAGCAACACACACACACACACAAAAAAAGCTTCTAGTTGCTGCCTCGCTACCTAAAATCCCAACATTGTGCTACTCATGGCAAACTAATGGTTCTGAAGAACTCAACAATCTACAAATGAACCACAAGAAAACAAAGGTGTTTTGGCTGATGATGGTTGTGCTGATTTTCTTTCTCTCTCTTTCTCTTTTACAGCATGATCCTGTCATTTGTGGAAGTATTTCAGTTTGAAAACATTTGGTTATGTTTAGGGTTGGGTTTATTTTATCCACTGAAATCTGCTCAGTGACTCCAATTCTTATCAAATCAAGACAGAAAACGGACCAAAAGTATGTTGGAAGCAAAAACAACCCACATTCAATTAGATTTTGCTTAGAGAAATAAATAATAGTGTTTACTTTCTGAGGCATTAAAGCCAAATAATGAGTTGTACTGGGCAATGTTGCAAGTCAATGAGCAGGACTGCTGCACTGCATAAACGGTTTTACAGGATTTTTGCATCAATGTGATGAAGTACCTTGATTTCTCTGGCTTTTAATTCAGTGGATAAGCCACAGACCATATTTAACGATGGACAATGTGAAGTGAAACCTCAAACCTTTGATCGCCCCCTGGTGGCTGGTTGCAGTATAGGTCATAAATCCCACTGTCTCCATATTAGCAAATAGGACATGAGCCTGATAGGTATTATCTATCAAAAGGTTTCACCATTTAATTTCACTATATCAAAATAAGACATTAAAAAAGGATGAATTCATATATAATTCTGTACCAAACATTGGACTTTTTCCTCTTGTATGTATTTATTTGTGTACAGTAATTGATTTCACTGTATCAATAAAAATCTATTTTTGAAGCATAGGGACATTTGAAAGTTAGCTCCAGTCTGCCTTATTTAAATGTTATACATGTGCTTTGTTTGACATGTAATGGCACTGTAAATGGAGTGCACTCATTTCTGGAAAAGATAAGTGGAATCAAAAAGCACATTTCTTGACAAACCCCCAGTTCTTACAGATTTGAAACAGCTCAAACCCAACCCTGGTTATGTTTCGCATAGGTGGATAGTGGTTGGTTGTGTGAATGGCAAGATGAGGTTACCTCCCCTCTTGTCCAACTCTGTGTGTGTGTGTGTGTGTGTGTGTGTGTGCGCATTTTTAGTACAACATACCAATGTTAAATCCTAATCAATGGATCTGGTTGTAGCTGGTTAACTTGAAACCACCGTGACCTTCTGTGTTCCTGCCAAGCTCAACCCAAACCACCCTAATGGTGCACGGCTGGGCCAGAAGCAGAGGATGTCCCCTTGTTGCGTCCCAACATGGAGGGCTCGAAGTCAGGATGACGGCGTGCGTGCTTGATCAGGTGATCGCTGCGCATGAAGCGCTTGTCACACAGTGGACACAGGAAGCGTTTTTCACCTGTGTGGGTGCGGGTGTGGCGGGCGAGCTCATCAGAACGGGCGAACTTCTTCTCACAGTCAGGCCAGGTGCAGGGGAAGGGCCTCTCGCCTGTAGCATGGATAACCATTAACCACTATGTCAATGACCAATAATAATTTAGCTTTAAGTCACCTGGTGTACACAACAAGCATGCAACACATTTATTTAATGACTGAAAATGCATTAGCAGCAGCTGTGTGGATTACAACGCCACCTACTCGGATTTGATACATAATGATTACAATAAACCATGAATGCAGTACAATGGTTAAAAACAGTGTATAAATATTTTCATTATCAATTAACATGCAGATTTTATAGGCTGATTAACCCCTTATCTTAATGACATTTTAAAGACCAGAGGAAAATGCTCATTGTTTGTTCATTATTATTTCCTGAACCCCAAGATTACATCATCCTCTATACATAATGCTGTAAATAACTGCAAGGCAAATTATTCAGCTGTTCCTACATTAATGCAATTTAATAACAGTCATTATACAGGCATTTTATAGTTTGTATTATTTCAAATTGGTCCTTAAAGTTTAAATAACTGTCTGCTACCAAATTAGTAATATATATCAAAACAGGGTGTGTTTGTATTTTACACAATACAGATGAACATACTCATCTCTGTGTAGTTACATGACAAGACATATTCTCCAGATTAGTCTTCCTAAAATACTACTAGCTTTAATCTGTTGTAGGTATGAGTCAAACCAGGATGAGGTACTGGAACGGTGCCATTTTCAACATCACAAAGCCTGGCCACGTTGTTGTATCACGACACCGTGGGCGTTCCCACCACGGTGTCTTTGGGCTGTTTGCTGCCCTTAATCCGTTTGCGCCTGCTCAGTGACCCTGGGCACACAATTGCTCTTATTTTGCGAAATCACGTGCGCATTTCAACTCTGTAGCAGAACTCCACTTTATCACTGACGCACTGGTCTATTTCCAGTTAAATCTAGCGTCTTACAGTTATAAGATGAACTGTCAAGTGAAGTGCTGCAAGATATTTATTCATATTTCTTCAGCAAAACCCCTAAAAACGTGTAGACTATCAGGCACGGGAACGACGCATCCATTATCGGACGCGCCACCTCCTGCAGCGCTTCTTCCAACGTTGTGTCCGAGTTACACAGACACAAAGTCGATTTTAACTCGTCGTCAGGCGCCAAGGAAGGGGAAAGGATGCCCAGAGAAACACTGAACAGCCAAACATCGAGCACTTGTAGCTGCCATCACTAGGATAGGCCGTGTCCGACAACGAGCACAGCTCTCGATGTTAAGGTTTCATCTTACGTTCATTTCATATGCAAATCCAGTGGAGAGGAAGACTTTCGTCACCGGTTTTAACGTCCAGCCCAGTTCTTTTGTTAGTTTACTTCTTTGTCAGAGTCTGGACGGGAGTTTTTCTGTCTGTCTCGCCCTCTTTGTTTGGCCACGTTGTTGGACAAAGTCGGGGGTAACTTTAACTAAATAGGTAGAAAACACGCTACTGTTGTATAATTCCATAAAGTACACAAGAGGTCAACAACTCCCATCTCATATAACAATATGGGTGTACATGCGGATGACAAAAGCAGAAGTTGTGGGCATGTACACAGCATGTGAAGTGCAGATGTAACCGAAGTGGTGCTGTCTCATACCTGTGTGTGTGCGGATGTGCGCCTTCAGGTGGGACGATTTCCCGTAAACTCTGTCGCATCCGTCGAAAGTGCACTGGTGTCGCTTCACCGGGGACCGCGGGGCCCCCGCGCCTCCCCCTCCTGCCCCCCTCAGGTGGTGGTGGTGCTGGTGCTGCTGTCCGGGGACCGGGGTGGCGGAGGGGGTCATGGTAGGGGTGGTTGGGTCGGACAACGTGGTGTACCCGCTCTCCCCACCACACGAGGAGTTGCTGCTCTCCGAGTAGGCCGACATGGGGCGGAACTTGCCGTGCAGGTCGGTGAGGATACCGGCCACCACCATCATGTTCGCACCCTCCAGCCTCAGAGTCTCCCGCACTTCCCTGTCCTCGCTCGACCCGTCGGGCTCCCCGGGGAGCAGGCCCACCGTGGCTGCCTGGCTGGCGAGGGCAACCGGGGTGGGTCTATGCAGGACAGGACCGCTAGATATCGACACCAGACACTCGGCTGCGAAATAATCAGACGAAGCTGTCAACGACATCGTCATGTGCCTTGTTTCGTTGGCTTTAGCTAAGGAAAAAAACAAAGAAAAATCCGTCAGGAGGGGTTAACGGCAGGCTGATCCCGACCGCGTTTACATCAAACTCGACGATCAAACCGTTTCCAGTTGAGCTTTGTTACTGCCATATAGTATATTGGTAGTTTGGAATTTACTAAGAATATCAAATAAAGGCACAAATGAGAATAATCATGTGCTAAAACCGCGACAATATCTCCAGCCCAACATGCGTGCTTCTACCCCTCTGATAGTTCATTGTGTCTGAGCCTGAGAGAAGCCGGTCAAACCTACGCCCCCTGGTCCGGACTAACGATGCGTTCACAAACTGCCAGTTAAAAACGAATGAGGGTGTTTATGTGCTTACACTTATGTAACGGCACGCCTTTATTTTTATTTTGTCGTTAGTTGCTCCAATATTGATTCTATACATTAAACTCATTGGACTACAGAACATCTCAAATCGCCATATCAAACACAAAAAAAAAATCTAGCATCTAGCTGTGTTCTTCCGGTGTATTTTATATATTAAGATTACATAACAAGTATAATTGTTTTACAGTTTATCACGCTAAAGCATATTTGACCAAATCAGTGTAACAAACCGCATTACTAATGTTATTTTATGACCTCAAAAGTTGGTGTGAAGGCAGGCTAATGTCATGTTTGAAAGGGAAGTCTAAAATACTATTTTTGTCCGTATGTGAATGCAGCGTGAACCACAGCACGCAGTGACTGACGTCGCAGGACGGGCGTGGATCGCGTGGCGGCGGGTGCATCGTGGAAAGTAGGTGGTAGCCTAATGATGGGGCAAGGAGATGGGATAAAAGGCGTGTTGGGTAATGGCTGTAGCTCAGTCAGAAGCCGGAAAACGTGACTGGTGGTGGAGGGCTTTGTATTGCCCACACTGAACCAAAATAGTTTTATAAATGGCAATACCAGCTCCACAATCTCTACTCTTTCGGCTGTTTTTATCCATAAGACACAGACACTAGATGTCTCTCTTCTGTTATAATTACCCCACTCAGGAAGAGTCTATGAATCACCTTATAATAGATTAGAGGCCTTAGCGGTTGTGGCCATGGATGGATTTCTGAATGGGCATATCGCACAGGTTTTATGTACAGATTTCATCGCGCTTAGGAAAAATTGGTGCGTTATCCCGATAGTATAATCTAGTAATTGTAAATTAGGGTTACACTCAATGACAAATAATCACTTTATTCTACAAGAAGACATCTCATTCATCAGGGATCAGGAGGCACCTTGACCTGAAGTTACTTTTTTAGTAACTTTCTAGAAAGTCAATCTAGAACACATAGCTGCAGCCACAAAGCGATGCAAAACAAGCACAAGGACATGCAGTGCAACCTCAGTGACAAAAACAAATAAAACAGACTCAATTTACCACAAAGAGACGCAAAGTAACTAGAAGGAGATGCAAAAAAACTAAGCAAAACTAGAGAAAGAGGCTACAACAAAACATATATGTAAAGCAATTAAAACAATAGGCAAAAAGGCCACAGAGGTGCAAAACAACAAAATAGAAGAGAAAAATGATCACAGAAATGCAAAAGGACTAAAAAGAGACACAAAACTTTCTTTTGATCTTTCTCCTATGTATAGAAGGTGGGAGGCCTTTTACACATCTGTACCAGGGGCCCCAGTGTCTCACATCCATGGTTGTGGCTTTTTGATTATGGCCCTATTGACCTATTGATAAGCTCCATGTTGATCTGTTTGATTGTAGGAGAGGTACAATACTATAAACACTTGTTATAATGTACCAGCCTCCAACTTTTAAACTGTTGACCTTTCCTGCAATAAACTGAATTTTCTCTCCGTGTCTGTCCAAATCAATGTGAGTATAAGAAAACCTAAGTTTTTGTGAGCCCCGGTCCCCCATCAAGCGACTGGTTCAGTGTGTATTTGTAGCTCCAGCTTGAAAAGTATTTCCTGATTGGTTGCTGTGAGGAGTATGGGTCACTGTGGGATCCCACGTACAAGTGTGGTCATTCAGTGGCCGTGAACAGTGCTTGGTTTTCATCTCGCTTACATGTGGAGACTCAGAGGCAGCCAGACTTGCAGAACCTTGGGGTTGCTATGGCTGTGTCCTTATTATGGCTTTATTGTCTACATGTTACACTGATTTTCCTACTACTATGTGGTGAGTTTTATAGTTTTTAATGTGAGTTATGTTCTTTATTTTTGTGTCATTTTCTTTTTTCCCTTAATAAAGAACAGACATGTAGCATGACAACATGATTGTGAGTGTTAAGTACAGAAGTTTGGTGAGCTTTCTTTAAGGACTGTTGTGTTTTTTGTCAGTATGTCTGAGATTTTTGTTGCTGCCTTTCCATGCTGTAGGTGACTCTACTCAAGCAGAACCAAATCTCTGTGATTCAAGTTGTGCTGGTGAGAATTTAATTTGTTGCCTTGTGTAATGCACATAACAAATACACCGATAATGAGTTTTTAAATGCAGATTGGCAAATTATTTGTATACATATATTCACAATTAATTTTGTTTCAGATTTGTGATTGTGCATTATTTCATATCTATAGGGCTTCCTACTCCTGACTTGTCCTTTCAAAGGGGGGTGAGGTATACTTACAGGTACAGCACAGTAATTACCACCACCCTTCATGGCTCCAATACAGGCAGGAATGGATTGGCTTTGGATTGTGTGGTTGATATTGATGTGGTCTCCAAATGTCACTTAATGATGCAGGTCAGTTTAATAAATTGTTTGTGAAATGCAAAAAGCCTGTGATGTTGTGGTTTCATGTGCATGCTTGTCCAACAGTTTAGGAATCCACAGATAAAGCGGCTGTCTCCTCAGAAGGAACACTCTGTGCAGCGCCTAAAAAGCCTGAGGTAATATACAGCAGATTTCATGCAAATTGGTGGGTTTTTTTTAAATAAAGGATAGCGATTGAACAAGTGTATGATTTATACTTTATCTGCCCAGTGTTTGCACATATGTGCATGCATTCTCTGTCTGCAGTGTTCACATTTTAAGTCCAGATCATTTTGGAATGCTAGAACTGTTTTTCCTCTGAATGTGATACTCTGTTCAGACGCTCCACTTGTCTCTGTTCTCTGGTCCCATGGGGCTCATCTGGTGTTTTTGTTTCCCAGGGAGTCACTGGAGAGATCACGCCTCAAGTTCTCCCTTCAGGGGGGAAAGGTCACGGCCCTCTGTCTCCAGGAGGGAGAGCAGGTGTGGGCCCTCAACATAAAAAGAGCTCTATTGAGCATGCTCCAGACCTCCCACACAGCCTCCAAACAGGAATTAGAAGAGGAGGTGAGGGTTGATGAGTAGTACATGCATGTGCATGTATTAACAATGACTGTCATTAACATCATCATGCCATAGCATTTACAAAATAAATATCTGATTTTTTTTTATGCCCCCTTCTCAGACAGATATATACGGGACTTGCACCAGCAGGTATGAGAGGCGAGGACCCGTGCTGCTGAAGACCAGGGTTCTAAAACAATGCCAAGAGTCCAGACTGGCAAACTTCTGGCCCCATTCAGTAGCTCTAACTGAAGATACAGTGAGCTTATTCTTCCTTCTATAATTAAAAACATCCACATAGTGATATTTTTAGACTCTGTATATTTACATATGAATAGTTCAAACAGTTCACATTTTCTTCCAAAAAATTATTAGCAGCAATTTGGTGTATTGAAACACATATTAAAGCCATTATTTTGATAATAATCAAAATCAAAGTCTTTGTCTCATAACCTCATTGATCCTAAAACTCTAGTTATGGACCTTGGCCTGATGGTAGCTTTTGTTTTAAGATTTCTTTTTTCTGATTTCTGGTATTGGAGTTGAAGTTAAAAAAGGCTGATGATGTTGGTCGTCACTTGAGATTTCTGCACCACTGAATAAGAACTTGAACTTTTCAGGGGACTACCATAAATATGACACAATACAACTTATCAAGAGTTGCATTTTATTCATGCTTTTATTAAAGACGGTTGGTTTGTCATCTTTTTCCTAGTCAGTGCAGTCAGAGCTACACTGTGTTCAGCGCCATGGCTCTACAGTGTTGGAAGAGGTAAACTGTACTGAAGCAGTTTCCATGGCAACATGGTCCCGGACTGCAGGGCTGGTGCAAACCCAAACAGTGTCTACGTTGCTCCTGCTCAGAGCCCAGCCAGGAAATCCTTTAGGAGTAGGTCAGGAGCAACTTTGTACTCTACACTTTAAGATTATGTTGCATTTCTGCAGGAAACGATACTGTATGAGAGACACGGACCCTGATGGCTGTTCTCCTCATTGCTCCTGCAGATTTGTTAAGCTTTGGTGTACTAACAGGCCTACAGTTTGAGGATGAGCGGGCCATGAAGACAGAAAAAACCAGGGTGGCAACACCTTTACAGGCCAGTCAGACTGTCAGGATGTTGTGTAGTATCACCTCAGACCCTCAACAGGTAGGTCTCAAATCAGCAAGTTCTGGTGAGCTTTTAATTGTATCTAATATATAAGAATCATCACTGTGTTTCAGTTTACCTGCCTTACTTTAGATGCTGCAGTTCCTTTAGTAAAGAATATGAATCAATTTTCAGCAGCCCATAGGCTTGTTTGTGTTTATGGGTTGTAGCTTGACTTCCCCAAGGCTTTGGGAGCTACTTATAGTCAAACCCAACCTGGTAACATTCATCATAATCTCTTTACATGGGAAGTATTTAAAAGGCATCATCACTCTCAGAACTTGATACACTCTGTGGCATTGGGATCAGGTGACTGATATATAAGATGAAAAGTATGTTCACAGTTATGCAGAAGACAATTGATTCTGGTTGAACAGGAGCAATTTTGAAAGACTCATGTGCAGAGTGTATCCATTTTATACCTACAACATAGATAAATGTGTGTGGATTTTATTTACTCCTAGGTATCACAACAGTTCCTTCAACTGGCTTTCCAGCTGAGAGATCTGACTCTCCCTCAGCTCAAGACACTCTGGCAAGAAGCATCTTTCAAGTGCCGCAATGACTGGTCAGTCTTTTCCTCAAATACCTTTTGGCTAGTCCCTCAGTTCTTCATTGCTCTGCCTCCTACATGACTGCCGCACATTTCCCTCATAAAAAGACAATGCACCATTTTACACTTACTTACTTATTTATTTAGTCATGTTAATTAATGAGCTTTAGCTTTATCTGAAGGTGCTGGTATGAGGAGGTTGGTACCACTAGAGCCAGGTTAGCAATTTCATGTTTCCGGTCTTTGTGCTAAGCTAAGCTAACGGGCTGCTGGCTGTAGCTTCATAATTAGCATATAAAAACAAGAGTGGTGTCAATCTTCTAACCTAACTCTCAGAGTGCTTTTCCTCAAATTTTTGAACTGTTAATTACACCTGTGTATGACAAATCAGAAAGTTCATTGTGAGAAAAATTTATACATACTAAACATAGTATGCTATTTATTGAACTCTGACTACAATAAACATGGAACATGTTGTTACATTTCACAGCTGTACACTGATTTTTGACATGACAACTCCACATTATGTTGCATGATACAGCTTATATACAAAGAGCTGATACTGATGATGAACTGTCTGGACAGGCAGCCGTTGTTAGATGCATTGGCAGCGTGTGGGTTTGAAAACTGCATCATACTGCTGACGGACCTGATGAAGAACAAAGAGCTGGAGGAGGAGCAGGCTCACTCTTTCCTTACCACCATAGCCCTCATCCCACAGCCATCGCCACAGATCATCGACTCCATCAATGTAGGAACCTCTGGGTGCTGTGACATGAATGACTTGAATCTCCCTCCAAAACTACATCCTGTATTTACACATAAGGTATATTAGTTAAATGAATGCAAGTTCATCAGTGTGTGCTGAGTGTACTGTATTGCTGCTGTTTGTGTTAGGCCTTACTGGAGGTCCCAGAGGTACGGTCCAAGGCCCTGTTGGCTGGATCATCTCTGGTTTATCAACTCTGCCAAAGATCCCAAACCTCCTGCACTGAACTTCCTCAGGTACAGACCTTCATCCAGACATTAGAAGAAACACTGAAGGGAGGCTGCAACGAAGAAGAACCTACTCGAGTGAGAGAGGTAAAGTACCGGCACTGAATCAGGTGACAATTTAATGTTATCTAAACAATGTCTGCTTTATAAAAAGCTGACAGATATTTGGTCCAATTAGAATTTTTTATGTTGCCTGACAGGTTTTTTATGCACTGAAATCCTTGGGAAACACTGGCCTGTGTGCTCAAACCTTCATTCCTCTGTTGAAGCACTGTGTTCTCAGCCACTCAGCAGCACTAGAGCTGAGACTGGCTGCTGTCCAGACCTTCAGACGCTTTCCCTGTTCAGCTGATGTGAGTTTATACTGACACAGCTCTACTTTAGTCAGTAGTGAGATAATAATTTGTAACACTGACATCAGGAAATGACAAGTACATTACTAGTTAAGCAATGCTGACATGAATGTCATAGAGTTACTTTATATCACAGAAGCCTAATGGCTTGGTAATTGATCCATGATGAGCTGGGGTGATGAGGTGAGTGACGGTCCAACATCAGTGACTGACAGCAGTTTCCTTCCCTCAGAGGTCTGTGCTGTTGCAGCTGTACTGCTCCTCCCAGGAGGACCCTGAGGTCAGAATTGCTGCATACCAGCAGCTCATGCACTGCCCTAACCAGAACATATTCGAAGTGGTGAGGAAGACACTGAGGAATGAGACCTCCAGCCAAGGTCTGGTTGGAATTGCTGTGTAGTTTGATAATGAGAATGTCTGTAATAGATTTTGTCAGCAGTGGCAACAGTGCCTAGACAAAAGAATGCAAACACTTAATGAAAAAAGGAATACTGAGAAATTAGTTTAAAAAAAAAAAGAAAAATGAATATTAATAAAGAAATTAGTATTTAAAAATGGCTATATTTGTCAAACTTCTATATCCTGGTAACCAGCCGACAATGGCTGCTAGCTGCGATTTAGCCATCTTTGAGGCAGCTGTGAGTGAGTTATGTAAAGATTTATCTAGCTTCTGTGTATCTTGGAGCTGCATGTGTATGCATTTATATCACTGATATACGCACAGTGGAAATGGTGTCTCCGCCTCCCTCCTCTATGCAGAAATGAAGCCAAAATATAATGAATACAGGGGCTGCCATTTTGCTTTATTAAAACCAGATTCTGCACAGTAGTGACCAGAAGTGGAGTGACAGCACTGGACCGTCAAATCAACTGAAATACTCCCCTTTATACATCATCAAATAACATATTAAAAACAAGCTTCCCAGAAAAATGGCCACTTGTACACACATCTACCAAATAATATAATATCTACCAAAAGGCAGAAAAGTGACCTCTGGGAAACACTTATTTGATTTGTACTTTGTTTTTAGTTTGGCTCATGTCCCATCCACTAACATGGAGGAGGCCAGATTTATGACCTATACTGCAACCAGCCACCAGGGGGCAAATGAGTCGTGCTGGCTTCACTTCTGGGAGCTTTCATGATGTCCATATTTTATACAGTCAATGATTTATATTCATGAAATGTAATTTTGAGACAATTTTACTATTAATAATCTATACTATTGTAGTTTTTTTATTTCAGCTGGTTGATGGAGTTTCTTAAATTATTGATAGTGATATAATTATCACTATCAATAATTAACTTGACTGTCTTATAGATTTACCCCTTAGTGTAATGAATGGCAAGGTGAAAAGGGGAAAGACAGAAGATTTCTTTTCAGACCCTTTTTCTTGTTTATCTTTTTGTTCATTTTGACATTATACGCTTTTGCTCTCCTATTTTTCTAGTGGGCTCATATGTATGGAGTCACCTGACTAATGTCCTCAGGAGCGAGGACCCCATGAAGCAGGCCCTAGTTGAGTCACTGCCTGATGACATTATCAGCAGAGACTTTGAGGCAGAATTTTTTAAGTACTCCTCCTATTCAGACTACACTGTTGCCACAGGTAATGATGGTTTCCTGTTCCTACTCTAGATTTAAATTGAGCACGATAGTCAGTTTTTTATGATTAGTATCTGAATTCTTAATTACAAAAATTGAACACTAGCATGCACAGTATACAACATGCACACCAAATAGAGGCAGACTGAAGCACTTGCAATACTGCTAATTACACAAACAGAGGTTAATGATACACTTTTCTGCTTTCCTGTTTGTTTCAGGTATGGGAATTGTAAATGTGGAAACATCTTTGATTTTCTCCCCCAAATCATTTCTCCCAAGATCTGCTGCTGCCAACCTCACAGTGTATTTTCATGGTAGAGCCCACAGCCTACTGGAAGTGAGTTTGATATCCATTTGATTTTACTCCTGAGAGTCTTTTAGAGGCTTACTGGAAAAAATACACAAGCACTGTGTGTTGACTGTATGCATTTTGCTTCCCAACATAGGTGGACCTTTACATCGAAAATGCTGAACCACTTTTGAAGAACATTTTTGGTCACCAGAGCCCTGACCCTTATGGAGAGGCCACGGCTCAAAGTCAAAAACATGCACGGGAGAAGGAGGCGAAGAGGACAAGAAGAAAAAGAGATGATAGCCATAGAGGAAGAGAAATGTGTTCATCCAGCACCAGCAGCTATCTGAACCAGGCCAAGGCCATGGTGAGGCCACTGTGCTAGTTTTTACTGGGCAGTTACAGTAGAGGAATAATTATGGCAGCAGGTTTAACGTGTAAGCTTGGTCATGTGGGAAAAGACCACACAACGACAGCTCTGGGGAGCTGGGGAGGTTTTCTCACTGGATCTGTAACCATTTACATTGCAATTTAGATTATAGGTTATCAATACAAATATCTGTACCTACTCACACCTAAAAACTGCTAAACTCAACTAAAGTAACATATATACACATGTACAAAATTCAGACAGCACTCAGAAATGTTTTATAAACGCCTAATTAACAAATGATCGAGGGTTAACATAGTCTGTTCCATCATGTTCATACAATGCCATTGGTTTGATTGTTTCCAGTTGTCTGGGAGGAGGAAACCAAAGGAGAGCAGGCCCAGGTGTTGGGCTGGTATAAAGGTGTTTGGGAATGAGATCAGTGTGTTTACATGTGATGATCTCTACAATCAGTTCAATCAAGTTTCGCTGAGCATGGCAGGAATGGCTGTCAAACTGCTGAAGGTATGACTGTGTCGATTGTTGCCGCAGTTTCTAAACTCTGTCTGACTCTTGATTCACAACCTGTTTACCTCCTCTCTTCAGGGTCATGAGGTTCACTTGAACCACAGGGCTGTGCTGATGACAGAGGAGCTGGTATTACCCTCTCTGTCCGGTTTGCCTGTCAAACTGGGCGTCAACATGACCTCCCTCATTTCACTGCGCCTGAAGGGCAATATGAACTACAGGGATACATCTCACTTCTCCTTGACTGGATACATCAAACCCAGGTACTTCCATACTACCAAATGCATTAGAGGCTCTAGCTCTGACATTTGGTTACCATCTGTAATTGGTCTCTGTTTTCTCAGCACCTATGTGGGGCTGTCAGCCAGGTTTGGGGTTGACGGCGCACTGGGTCAGGCTGCGGTGGACTGGGTCTCTGAGATAAGGAGTTCTGTCAGTCTGGATGGCAGTGTTCAGCTGCAGGAGGGGCGGGATGTCAGGGTCATGCTTAACACACCCGAGGACATCATGGACATCATCTCTCTGAGGTTAGTGTCGACATTTTAATCAATTACTGTAAATCCTCAGTATTATATTTAGAAATGAGTTTGAATTATTCTGACCTAATTTAGTCAGAATCCTTTATTTCTTAGAAAGAGCCTCTTTTTGAATTCTTTGTCACCAGTTCCCAAGTGTTTCAGCTCAGTGGAGACCACAGAGAGGAGATAAGGGGGTCAAAGAGTCGAGTCCAGAAGACCACCTGCACACCAAAGAATTGTAAGCCCTCATACATGACATCCATATGATAAAGAGAAACTGTCCAGCAGAATGAGCCTTTAATATTGATTTCATAATAGATATAATAGATATAATAGATAATTGATATTGAATTTTAAATAATTTACTACATATTGTAATTTGTCAGGCTAATAGCTGGTCTTCTGAAGCCACAGCGTATCTGAGTCTTTGCTTCTACTGTTTCATATTTAAGTGCTACTGTTGTTGTATCTTACTTTAAATAACTGTGTTTAGCCAGTATTGCATTATTCCTGTTGTTCCAAAAATGAATTGAACTACTTCACACAGTGCTTAAAATTTGTCTTGCTTCATTGTTATCATTAGCTCATATTTGGCCACATTCAACCACTGTGACCTATTATTATTTTTATTATAGCTCAAGCATTTACCAAACACTGATCTCTGCTTCCTTAAAGGGTCTAAGATGGTCGGCTGGCAGCTGTGCTCCAATTCATCTTACCCGTTACCTGCTGCCGGTCTTTCACTTCCCCCTCCTGGACCTGTCTATCTCTCCATCAGGCTGCTAAAGTTGGACAGAAGTCTCCATTACTACTTGCTGGAGGCTGCCTATTCACTACTGCCACAGGTACATGGAACCACCAGTGAATTTCCAGAGAGTTTCTTTGAGCTGATTCTCTCTTTGCTCTGAGAGGCAGCTGCGTATTTCTTGTGTGAGAGCTCCGTGACCATGATAAGCTCTTCGAGGGCTTAAAAAGCACGATGGTACACTTGCGCATCTGATCTCTCTCACAGTGGCTAACAGTCAAAGCTGTGTTTCAGACAGGCACATGGCTCCCCAGAGAGGCCTCTATCCACCTCCTCCTGGCCACTCCTCAGTCCTCCATCCCCAGGGACATGTCTCTGGACCTGGCCTTCAGCTTTCACCGGCTGCTGCTAAGGATCACTCATCCTCTCAAAACCATCCACATACATGGTCAGTCCCACAGCAACACCATAAAAAATTCCTCCCTCTTATTCAGGTTTAATGCTGAAAATGTGTCATTTTCTCAGGGCAACTTGAAAAAGAGAGGAATATAAAGTCAGGGAAGCTGGAGCTGACAGTTGATGGTGTTCATTATTATATCATGGTGAGCACTGAACTGGCAGTTTCTATAAAATAATTTCCTGATTTTTCCTTTGGGTGGATTTAATCCTAAGGCAATTTCTCCACTATAAAAAACGTTCATTATATCTACCACTGTAGGGTTTGGTTGACACTGAGATCCTCCTATTAGAGCAAAGGACCAGATACCACCTTGAAGCCAAAATGGCCACTGATGGACATCCCATGATTCTCTCTGCTAATGTTACTCGTGGACCGGGCAAGAAGACCAGCTTCTCTGCTAGTGTGAAGAATGTGTTCAGAGAAACTGCGTCACTGTCCGGTATCCAAACTGCATGAGCAAATAAAATGCCTTTACAGTATTGTCTCCGGAAGCTGTAGATTTACATTCAGCATTTGAATTTTACTTGTAATTCTTCCATACTCCTCATCCCTCATGTCAGTGGCCCTGGAGCGCAGGCGTGACGGCAGCAGCAGCAGCCAGTACTCTCTGGAGGCGGAGCTCCCCCTACCTGGTGTGGTTGGTAGCAGGATGCTAGGACTGATAGAGCAGAAGGGCTCACTGTGGAGCTCCGCAGTCAGGTTCAAATATGGCCTGGGAGGTGAGGGACTGAAAAATGTAAAGGTTTGACACCATACAACAAATAAAACTCTAATAAATTAAAGGAACAGCTTATCCAAAGACACAAGCAAACATTAGTCCTTTTAACCGCAGTATATTCATCCAGATTATTTTATTTACTGTAGCTGAAAAACTCAACAGCAAAGGTGAATCCTTTTGTCTGTTACTGACCTATCCTATCTGACCCTCCTACAGGTGATGCCCGGCACCTGCGTCAGGAGTGCTACACGTCTCAGAGAACGAGGAGCGAGAGGCACTCAAACCGTACCTATATCATGAGAGTGGATCATGAATTCTACTGCTCCAACACAGCTCCTATCAGCCACAAGGTACCTGCAGACAGGAAAAAGCCAGTGTTGCTCCTTTCTAAAATAAATGTTTTCTGCAGTTAGAAGCTCTGTGGTTTGTCTGTACTGTAGTGCATGTTCTTCTCAGGTCCACCTCCAACATGAGGAAAGCCCCAGCCACATTAAATCAACCCTGGATGTGAGCTATGGGAAACACTGGGATGAGATAAACAACAAATGCACACTCCTGCTGAGTCAGTCCTTTAAAAACCAGTCCACACCAAATCACACCAGATACACACTGGAGGTAAACAGATATGAAACAGACTGCATCTGCTTGGGCCTTTTACACAAATTACTTCTATTTTGTGAGAAAAGGTTTTTACTTTGAACCAACACACATTCTTACTATGACATAGATCTTGTATTTACATTTTCTAAGCAAGTCAAATTAAATACTCCCTCTTGTGTTATTACAGTTCAGTCTCCATATGCCAGAGAAGAATCTAAACTACAGGACCCAGCTCCTCTACTCTCACCTGAGACAGCTCGGGTCTGAGAGCAGCACTCATCTCAAAATCAACTACAACAACCTGATGCCCCTGGTGGCAGGTTTATACTGGAAAAGCTCTCCTACAGATCCCCTGAAGAAGAAATGGGAGGGTAAGAATAATGTTTGATTCCCAGAATCACCTTACATTGTTAGATTTTTACTGTACATATGTTTTCTCTGCAGTGCAGGGAGACACTTAGCAGCACAAGCTCTCTCTCTTATTATCATCCAGGCACATTTAACATGGACACACCATGGCTGTACATCTACACCTCCCACAAGCTGAGCCAACTCCAGCGCTACACACTCCAGCTCACGTCGGAGCTGACAGCCAGCAAGTGGCTGACCATCCGTAACCTCATCCTGGAGGGTTTCTACAGGGACAGGGGCAGAGAGAGGGAAACCCGTCTGGAGCTCTACACACCAGCTGTCACCTACCTCAAAGTAAAGGAGAGAGGAAGCTGCTGCTTCTGAGCAGCAGCTTTTAGCAGTCGACTCAGGGAAATTCTAGACAGGATGATGGATGATGGGAATTTTGTTTGTGCATACTGATATACACAATCAATATCAAGATTTTGAGGTAGTGAAGTATGTATGTGCACTCAAGACAAAAGGCTAAATAAAACCTTTTGTTCACTGAGGTGCCAGGTCAATTCAGTTTTGTGGTTAAATAATTATCACTGGTTAAATAGTGCTTCTTCCTTCTTCTTCCATTCCTCCCCAGGCAGGAGGGTGGAGCATGGTGGGGAAACAATGTGTGAACGCCTCCTGCTCCCTGAGCTCATTGTGGACCCCTCCCCTGAGAGGGGACATCTCTCTGGAGGCCTCTAAAGTCAGCTACATCCTGCAGGTGGCCTCCACCTATGGCAAGCACAACATCAGCCTCGCTGCTGCCCTGAACACCCTAGGCAAGGTTAGGCAAGTTAAAAAGCTTTTTAATGTGTAGTTTGTTAATGTTTTGACAATTGATGGCTGTTTTCCAATTTGTTTAAGACTTTGAAAAAAAGGCAAGCAACACTGAAGGTGACCTTCTCAAAGCCCAAGAGTCCATCCACAGAGCTGGAGTTTGAGGGGGCAGTGGAAGAGCTGAGGAAGGACAAGCAAATGTATCAGAAAACTGCAATGCTCAGGCTTAGGTCTGTGCCCCAGTCTGATTCTCTTGTAATGAATCAGCTGGTGTTTTTTAGGACAGTGATGATTTTATGTCAAAACACAGCGAGAGCTTTGCTGATTTGTGAAACATAACCATCTCACACAGACAGCCCTTCCAGACCTTCCCTCAGACACTCCTTCTCAGGGAAACTTTCACTGTCGACCTCTTGAAAGGCCTCTACATCCTGGAGTCTAAAGCTGGTTTCCATGGCAACGGAGAGGTCACCCACACCCTCACCCTTGGCTACCACCCACCGAGTCCTTTTGTAAGTTGAGCACAGGTTAATTTGATAACTCAACAGATGCTCGTTAAAGAGAAGCCGTTGTTTGGTATTCTATTGAGTGATTTTCATTTTTGTGGCTCAAATTCAGATTTGTTCTGCACTGATCCATCCTTTCAGCTCTGACACTGTTCCATCAGACTCAGAAATCTGTGTGACCATATTCAGCAACCAGGTAAACTGACTTCATCATTCACAGCATCACAGAATTTACTGTGAAAGCGACATTAACATAAAAGCTATTTCTAATTCAACATCTCAGTTCTGTAGACACCTTGGTGCATCCATCCTCACAAACATTTTATGCTGACAAGCATTTTTCATACTCATAGGACACTATTTTAAATTGTGCTCCACGTACCAATGTTTCCAAAGATTCTAAACATGTAGCATCACACATGCATGCTAGCATCAAGGAAGTAGTTCAGTTTATGTGATATCAAACAGTGTGGAGAAATGCCTTAACTTGTCTACCATAAATTTCATTCAGGTTCATAAGTATTTGAACAAGGACACAATTTTTGTCATTTTGCCTCTGTATACCATCTCAGTGGATCTGAAATAAAGCAGTTGATATATTATTGAATTGTAGACTTGCAGCTGTAATTAAAGGGGTTTCACAAAAATATTGTGTAAACAGTTTAGGAATTACAACAGTTTTTATACATAGTGCCTCATTTTCAGAGGCTCAAAAGTAAGTGGACAACTGACTGACAAGCAGTTCTGTGGCCAAGTGTTCCCTTGTTATTTGATGGCAGATTTAGCAGATAAAAGGTCTGGAGTTGATTCCAGGTGTTGAATTTGCATCTGGCTGCTGTCCTTTGGACCTCTTGGTATGCGGTCCAAAGAGGTGACAGTGCAAGTGAAGGCTTACAGAACAAAGTGAACCTGTCAGAGAGATAGCGGAAATGCATTTTTTTCTTGTACATTTACTTTTGAGCCTCTGAAAATGGGGGGCAATGCATAAAAATGGTTATAATTCCTAAACTGTTGACACAATATTTTTGTTAACCCCTTGAATTATAGCTGAAAGTCTACACTTCAATAATATACTGACTGCTTTATTTCAGATCCACTGAGGTGGTGTACAGAAGCAAACTTACAAAAATTGTCTCATTATTTAAATATTTAAGGACTTGACTGTACATGCAGTAAGTGGATACTCAGCATGGGAAACATTCATGTTTCTATATGATATATTTCTTCCCAGACCCAGAAGGACATACAAGGGCGGTTACAAGTTGGCAGCAAGAACAGGCTGACTCTCTTTGGACAAGTTCAGTTAAACCCTTTGAACTCAAGTCACCAAGCAATAAAGGTTAAAGCCAAGTTCACCCACCAGCTCCAGGTAAACCAGCCGCAATGAGACAAATGCTCAGTTGATAAAATGACAATGCCTGGTTCAATATTTCACACTTTGTGCAAAGTGGTCATTTATATAATGTATTGTGAATGCAGTCAGGCAGTGTAACTAGTCACACAGTCAACAGTGTATAGTGTAGTTTACAGTAGAGGAGGCCAAACTTGTGACCAGTTCGATGTTATTGCTGTTACAGCTGCAGCTCCCCTCCTCTGCTATAATGGAGGCAGATGTATGCTGGAACCCCAAAAACAACACTGACTTTGATTATCAGACCAGAGGGAAGCTGAGAATAGAGCGACAGGAGTGTAAAGTGAGTAAAGCAAACAACGTTTTTTAATTATTGCTTGTTTTATCAGTGGTGTTTCTGATAAATTTGTGGTACCAAGGTGTCTGTTTTGTTTTGTTTTTTAGTTTTCTGTACAGCTGAACGGAACATCAGGCAGGGTTGGACTCCATTCGTCTCTCAGTCACCCCTTCAAATCAAAGATTCCCAAAACACTAGAGGTGGGATGCATTTGTGTTTTGTATCTTTTATATTTCATATAACCTTTTTATATTTCTCTACTATCTTTTCACCTTACTGTTTCTTCTGCTAAGGTAAAGGCCACTGCAGACATGTATACAGTGCCTGGTAAAGGGAGCAGCTCAGTATATGTGAGGACTGATGGGAAGGACAGGGTGAATCTGGATGCCCAACTGTCCCACTTCCTCCAGAGAGAAGACAGAGCTGTGGGACTGAGGGTGAACTTATCCCAAAGTTTGCTGACTACAGCCAGCAACCTGCATCTAAACATGGCTGCCAACATGTCCTCTGACAGGTGTGTACACTGACCTGCTAAGAGATCTACATTGATAATCTAATGAACAAAGTTGACTTTTGATCTCATTTGGATTTCTGTTTTCTTATTTCAGATCCACTGAGGTGGTGTACAGAAGCAAACTTACAAAAATTGTCTCATTATTTAAATATTTAAGGACTTGACTGTACATGCAGTAAGTGGATACTCAGCATGGGAAACATTCATGTTTCTATATGATATATTTCTTCCCAGACCCAGAAGGACATACAAGGGCGGTTACAAGTTGGCAGCAAGAACAGGCTGACTCTCTTTGGACAAGTTCAGTTAAACCCTTTGAACTCAAGTCACCAAGCAATAAAGGTTAAAGCCAAGTTCACCCACCAGCTCCAGGTAAACCAGCCGCAATGAGACAAATGCTCAGTTGATAAAGTGACAATGCCTGGTTCAATATTTCACACTTTGTGCAAAGTGGTCATTTATATAATGTATTGTGAATGCAGTCAGGCAGTGTAACTAGTCACACAGTCAACAGTGTATAGTGTAGTTTACAGTAGAGGAGGCCAAACTTGTGACCAGTTCGATGTTATTGCTGTTACAGCTGCAGCTCCCCTCCTCTGCTATAATGGAGGCAGATGTATGCTGGAACCCCAAAAACAACACTGACTTTGATTATCAGACCAGAGGGAAGCTGAGAATAGAGCGACAGGAGTGTAAAGTGAGTAAAGCAAACAACGTTTTTTAATTATTGCTTGTTTTATCAGTGGTGTTTCTGATAAATTTGTGGTACCAAGGTGTCTGTTTTGTTTTGTTTTTTAGTTTTCTGTACAGCTGAACAGAACATCAGGCAGGGTTGGACTCCATTCGTCTCTCAGTCACCCCTTCAAATCAAAGATTCCCAAAACACTAGAGGTGGGATGCATTTGTGTTTTGTATCTTTTATATTTCATATAACCTTTTTATATTTCTCTACTATCTTTTCACCTTACTGTTTCTTCTGCTAAGGTAAAGGCCACTGCAGACATGTATACAGTGCCTGGTAAAGGGAGCAGCTCAGTATATGTGAGGACTGATGGGAAGGACAGGGTGAATCTGGATGCCCAACTGTCCCACTTCCTCCAGAGAGAAGACAGAGCTGTGGGACTGAGGGTGAACTTATCCCAAAGTTTGCTGACTACAGCCAGCAACCTGCATCTAAACATGGCTGCCAACATGTCCTCTGACAGGTGTGTACACTGACCTGCTAAGAGATCTACATTGATAATCTAATGAACAAAGTTGACTTTTGATCTCATTTGGATTTCTGTTTTCTGCTTGTCTCTTGCTTTCCCAGTGTATCTCTACATGGCTCCTATACACATGGACATGAGGCTCTGCTAGTTCAGGTGAAAGGTTCACTAAAAAATACCAGGGGGCTCCAGCTGTCTGTGTCAGGGGACCTGCAGCACTCCATGGCCAACCTCACTATTGTTCCTCCAGCCCTGTGGTTGAACGGGGCACTGGGACTGTCTGACACGCTCATCAAAGGTATCATATGAAAATGTTTATACTAACAGCTGTTATATTAAGCCCTGATTTGTGTCATTTAGTTTAGACATTTAGCTGTGTTGGCCCAAAAAAGCATCAAGAATGTACCGGTATTTATTTGTGTGGTATGACTGAGGAGTTGTCTAAGCTATATAAATGTAAGCTCATGTAATGCTGAATGTGTGTGCGCGCTGCAGGACAGTTAAGAGTTAGAGTAATGGACACGTTATGCAGTGTGGAGCTGAGGCATCAGGAGGATCCTGGAGAATCTCCAAACAAAGGAGATGAAGAAGACATGAGGGGGGAAAAGTCCCACAGGGCCCGTGATTGGCTGTGTGTTGGTTTGGGGCAGGAGAATTTGTGTGTGAATGTGAGCCGCCAACAAGGGAAGCACGGGTGGAGTGAGGTCTACACCCAACTTTCTCACTCTGTCCGCTTGCTTGAGGCCTCAGGTAAATATTAAGATATACATAATATACGTTAGAGCTTATAAATCTTTGTTGCTCTCTCAGTGTCTTTGCCTTCCTATTACTGGCAGGTGTACCTGCTAATAGTAGTGCCCAGGTGAGCTGGGGCCAAGATGGTAGTCGGCTGTCAGTCCTGGCAGAATTGCAGGCTGGACCTGAACATTTAAAAGCAGAGTTTAATGGAGGCAAGACAGACCAACTTGTCCCACGATGGGAATACTTCTCCAGGCTACAACACCAAGTGAAAGCCCTGCTGAAGAGAGGCCTGTTGAGCACAGTTCAAGCCAAAGCTCACTATCAGGTGCAGGGCTGATATGGCTTTATGACATTTTCTAGATTATTAATGTGTTTTCTCTCCTGGGGACATACGTGTTTTTTATACCTTATATTCTTATGTTTTCATTCTTCTCTCAGTTAGAAGCAGCAGGGCTGGACTCAGGTTTGGTTCTTCTCATGGAAGATGAAAGACTGGTTGATGTCCTTTTAAATACTGGTTCAAGAAACAGCACAGCTATACTGGTAATGTCTATATGGCAACAGACAAAGCTACTGCAGGGACTCATTCCCACATTTTTACAGGTAAATTGTATTTTACAAGTTCTCTTAAAAATGTCTGCCTTTAACTCTTACCAACAAAAATGAAGCATGTTATGTACCACAATATTTTATGTTACTGGTTTAAAGTTCAGTAATTCCAAAGAAAAATTTCCCTCCTCCTCCATCAGTTTCTGCTTTGAAAACAAACTTTGCCAACAGGGGTTTTTGTTTTCACAGGTGAACTGCACAGGGGGCGCCACTGCAGACCGACTCTCAGCCCAGTGCCACGGAAATGTGGTGGGTCGTCCTGCGGAGGTACAAGCCTTTCGCTCCTATCGATCACACAGCAGGCTCTGCTATGGCCTGTCTATCACTCTTTTGAGCCTCAGTGCTCAAGTGAAAGGCTGTTACAGTTCTAATGGTCAGCGAGAGCTCAGAGCTAACCTTACTCATTCCTGTGTGCTATTACTGACAAACAGTAGTTGGGCATACCCACCAAATCTGGACTGAAGCTCCTGCCTCGGCCAGGGCCTCAGAGGTGGGCAGTGGGGCTCATGTTGGTGGTTGGTCCTTGGGGAACAAACTTGAATGTGGGACTGAGGTTGGAGAGGCCTGGGCTGCTTGAGTATGGGACCTACAGTGTTACGCACAAGGTCGAGGTGACAGGTCAGATGAGGTTGGAAAGTTGGTGTCGCATCTGGGCAGATGTCAGTATAACCTCCATCATCCCAAACAAAATGAACCTGCAGTAGTCAGGTTAGCTCCACAATACAGCCGTCTCTGAAAGTGCTCATTTCTCTTTGGACATCTAGCCCGCTCAGATGGGCATAACTGCTGCCTGGGAACCCTCCACCTCCTTCAGGGTCATACTTCAGTAAAACGTAGCCTCTACTGGCTTATCAGGGGGGCTCACAGTTAGCATATCAACCAACCACAGCTGGTCAAGCCCAGCTTGAAGTGGAATGTGGTGTGTGCTCGGGGCTTCTGCTGGTGACTGATAACACCAATACTGGATGAAAAAAGTAGTAACATGACCTGTAGTTGAAATGAATGCTAGCCTGGTGGTAGAATTGTCACCACAGGATAAATTGTACTAATTGCAGTTACTAAGGGGATCCCTTAACCTTTCTACCACCAGGGCAAAACTTAAATTTGTCCATTACTTTGGTTTATGAACAAACAAAAGCTTATGATGCTCTCTTAAGCCCCAGCTGTATTTTGTGCTCAGTAATGGTCTCGTGTGTATATGGGAATTTCTGTAGATTCTTTTTTAAGTCATGTCTAAATTGTGTCTAATTTAATATTTATGAGAATTTGATTATTTTTGACAACACAGCTTTATATAGTGAACTCTTGAATCTAATTTGTTTGGAAGGAATGAAGATTAACACCAAATCTAATTTTTATTTTCTATATTTTTTCTCTTTCCCCACTATAGACTGTGCTTCCCCCACAGACCTCAGTCAACGTCTCTGTTGTCCATTCTGGTGGGTCCAGAAATCTCAGCACCATTCTTTACTCTGAGGCGAGACAGAAAGGCAGCTTTGTACTCTGCCTAACTTCTCACCCCAGTCTTAGTCTGACAGCATCTATCCAGCATTCCATAGAGACAGTACAGACACCGGCATTTCCCACCCATGTAGCGATAATCCTGAATGCCTCAACTACACATCTGCCCGGTGTGGAGGTTGGCCTGGAGCTGGGACGCTGTTATTTCAGGAGCAAATTGGGGAAGACTAAAGAAACAGAAGGGGACCAGTCTTCTTATGCTGTCAGTGTGACTAACTACTGTCCTGCTCTGCAGGTAAGAAAACCAAGCAGTTCTGTGTAGTAATGCTTGAGGAAACCTGAATAAACAAATATGTTTAAGTTGTAAATATTGCTATTACACCAAACTGTGACAATGCATTGTCAATGCTTTCATCACAGTTAGAAGCATTAAGATTTCCTCTATGATTCACTCTGGTCTATGATAACACAGCTTCCTTTGAAATACAGTTTCCAGCATGTTAGAAGGTCAAGCTTCTTATGTATCATTAGCAGGGCAAAACAACACCGGGGATGATACAGCTGCTAAGTGAGACACCTTCTGCCTGAATGGTGCAGGGTAAAAATGATGAGTAACTACTTATTACAAAAGTTTTTCCAAACTAATGAACATTCTCCACATATGTTTGGGCCACAGGGAACGGTTCTCCCAGTGTTCTTGACTCTTCAGGGCCTCCTGTCAGTCGCTCCCTGCCAGCTGACGCTGACCTCCTCTCTGAGGGCAGACACACAAGACCTCTCCTTGGAGCTGAGTCAATCCTGCAGGCCTCAACATCTCTCCGGGACCTTCACTCACTCCTTCTCTGGGCTGAGGAGCTGGGGCCTGCCACAGACGGTCAGCATAGAGGCCACTGCTCCTGGAGGCCCAGAGCAGACTGAAAGGCTGTTCGTCAGAGCTGGGACATGTCAGATTAGAGCCAATAGGATCACAGAGGCCAAAGGAAGGACACTTTGGCTCTGGGCTCTGGAGTCCAAATGCCCACTGTTACAGGTAGAGCTATGAGGATTGTTACAAAAGCTTAGTTGAAAAATAAGTTGAATGATAATAAAGGTTTCTGCAAGATCATTACTCCAGATATGAATCACATCAAACCCATACTAAAACCTAAGCAGGTAGAGACATTGTTGATTCTGGAAGTCCAAAAGTTCATTTTGATGAAATTTCAGTTAAGATTCAAATTGGTAGATAATATGTTAGCACAATGTGTGTGCAAATTTTTAAAACATTATTCAGCTTACATAAATACATAAACGTATACATATACATGAGACAATTCATCCTACATACAGAAGCAAATAAAAACAGAAACAGCAAAACAAGCGAAAAATATATATAATTCAAAATGTATTACTTTGTTTGCACCTTTTGCTATAAACTGTTTATCATTAACCTAAAACCAGAATTTATAATGATGCCCCAGTGTTTACAATTATAATCTTATCATACATCATTTGATTTTTTTTTTTTTTTCACAAAACAACATCACACACAATATTATATCTATGCTCATCTGTCCAAAACCAGGCTTAAAATACCCTCTTACTTGATGTTAATCTTTATGTTACTCTATGGTGCATTATTAGTGTATGCATATATACTGTAGGTTGTTATATTTAACTCCAAACCTCACCCTGGCTTAGAGTATATCACCAACCCACAGAAGATCAATTCTAATATTTATTCCATCAGTATTCCTTCCAAGAATCCATTATATATCAGAACTCTTTGGAGACATCCAGTGTTTATGTATTTAGACAGCTGTCACTGTCAACATGACAGTCTTCTGATCCTTTCCAGGCCCATTTGAATGGTTCAGTGTGGCAGGACCCCGAGGGTCTCTGGACAGCTATGGTGGACACTGATCTGCAGGGCAAAAGGACTCTCCTGAAGCTTAATGCAAAGGCCTGGCCAGAGCTGAGTGTGGAGGGTGAGCTCAGTCACAACCTTCCTGCTCTCAGAGGGTTACCTGAACACATCAGAGCGAGAGTAACCAGCAGGATGGGAAAACAACAGTATGACACCGAAGCCCTTCTTCAGTTGGACCAGTGTGTTGTCAGAGCCACTGGAGCTGTGATGTCACAATCAGGCCTGCAGGGCTCGCTGCTGTATCACAACAACTGCTCTGGGATTCAGGTACAGCAAATGATAAATTATTCCATCATCGTTTGTAACTAACTGCGATCAACTCTGTGATAATTCCACTATATTGCTCTCTGATCTTTTTGAGAGGAGTGGGGCAGTCCTGACAGGATGCACCTTACTGGGTCGTTGCTCGTCTCCCCAACTTTTGCAGAATCTCAGGTCTCCATGGTGATAGAGCCTACAGACTTAGAGGCTTTAGTTGCTCTTAAGAAAACTAAGGCATGGAAATATTCAAAAACATTTGTGATTTAGCATTTGTTCACACATTTCAATTAATTGCCTTTAAAAAGCAGCAGATCGGACATTACGTTGTATTACATGTTACATAAAGATATAACCTTAATTTTTCTGTTTTTAATTCTGTGGTTTTGTTGTTGTTGCAGGATAAAAATGAAGCATCACTTACTCTAAACCACACTGTGCCCTTGTTGAAGAAACTAGGTCTGCCTGCAAATGCCACAGTAACAATACATTTTAGGAGTCACAGCAACGGTTCGTGGTTTTACATGTTAAACAGCAGTGCAGGAAATCAGATGGTAAGACCATATTTTTATTCACAACAATAACCTGACAGCAATATTCAGACAGAAGCAGAAAGACAAAATGTGTTTTTGTGGAAACTGGTTTTCTCTAAATACGCATGTTCTGATTTTGCCTTCTGTATAAGAGCTGCTGCAGCTGATGTTTTGAATGTTTTGCAGATAACGCAGGAGACGACAGTGGTGAAGGCATCTGAAACAGTGAGAGTGAAGAGTACTTTCAGACATGCAGTGAACTATCTGAAGAAACTGGGAGTACCTGCAAACAACAGCATCCAGGTTGAAACTCATATACATTTGACAAATCAAATATAAAGAAGTGACTGTTTTTTGCTTATTGCATTTAAAGGCAGTTTGTGTCACACTCACTGTGGATGCAGGTAGAGCTTGGTTCTGCTGCAGGGAAGGTACTGACCCTAGCGTCCCAGTTTGGAGGTCAGCAGGCAGCACTGACTCTAAAGACGAAGTGTCGCCTAACAACTACTGAGATAAGAGGAAGCATGTGGCACAGCTGGTCATGGCTACAGGACAGAGGACTACCACACAGTGTAGAGGTAACAATATATGTTTTTTCTTCTCTGCATTACATTGGTTTATTGAACTTCTGCAACATTTCACTCTGTCTCTGCTTTAAAACAAATTCTAATATATACCTCGCTGGTGGTTTTTGTTCTACAAGGGTCTATGCTCCATCCAGGGGGTGTTTTCTGAGCTTCAGTCCAGGGCTCAGCTCTCTGTGGACAGACACCAGCTACTTGACTCAGGCTTGAATGTCAGTGTGGCTGATGGACGTCTGGCTGTGCAGCTCTCCTATTCTCCACCAGCTTCCAGTCTAATACAGCACAGTCTGGACACTGCACTGGCTGCTCAGTTTAAAGGTCAGATTGTATTAACAGCTTGATTTCAGCCTATGCATATTGTTCCTTGAAGTACAGGATGCCAAAGTGTCACTACAGTATAGATAAAGATGACAAAACATATACATCTGCATCAGTATGGAGACTGAGAACAGCCTTGCTTGCAGTTAAAATTTTAAATGCCATTATCTCAAGTCAGTGATTTTGTTATCTCAACATAACAAAGCCTGTTTTCTTGTGATAACGAGTTCATTTATCTTGTTAACCTATCTTGAGGAAGCAAAAGGCAGATTTATTTAGATGATAAGATAATTTATCAAGAGAAAAGGATTTTAGCTTTATCAAGATCACAGGATCATTATGGAGAACTAGAAAATGACTGTCTGGTTCATGTGATTTCATCAGATTTCAGCCTTCAAGATCACTGTGATGACTTGTCAGGGAGGATCCATAACTAAACAATATATCAAGACATAAATGTGTAGTTTTATTTGCTGCAGTTACTCATTAGAGAAGACAGTGTTGTTTTATAGTAGACAAAGATGAGAGGCTCACTGACTCCCAACTTTCTGCTTCAGCAAGAAGCTGCTCAAATAAAGCCTATTGTAACGGCAGAGTAATAGTTAAAAGACATTATTGATGCTGTCTGGTTTGTCCCAGCATGTCCACATTGCCTACAGACACCTGTTGACGGTGTCCCCAGACTTTTGCGAACAAATTTATAGAGTAGCTAATTTAGATCATGAGATAAATTCACCTGTTATTTTGAACAAATAAGTTTTATCTCTTGAGATAATTAAACAGCTGCCTCGTGATCTTGAAATAATGCTATTTAGTCAATAATAGCAAGCAAGGTCATTCTCAGTGCCGGACTGATATGATTTATATTTAATGGCTCGAGCCAGAATTCTTCCCACATTCAAAGTTTTTGAGACATTTGCACATGTCGACATTTACTTTTTGAAAAAGCAAGGGATTCTGGTAAGCTTAGTCTTTCATCGTACATGTTCATGTTGACTGAAACTGTGCTGAGGTCTTGCCCTTGAATCCTTCTGTACAAATGCAGTATGAAGGGTTGGCCAGCAGGGGTCATGATTTGATTTTTGGTCAGTGTTTTAACAAGCTGTGTTTCCCTGTCAACAAAGGAATCTTTGAGTTTCATTTTAAAATGCACACAGTGTTGTTCTTGCAAAACCATGGGATGCATACATTTGTTTACTTTAAAGACTGACTCCAGACTATTTAACAACAGCGCTCTGATCCTCTCTGCAGGTCCTCTGTGGAGCACTTCGGTGGATGTTCACTGCCAAGACTGGAGGGTCCAGGTGGATGGGGATGTGGGTGGCTGGGGAACCCATGCAGGGTCCAAGGATGCCAGAGTCACATTAAAACACACTGTAAAGGGACAATCTAGCCCCACCCTACAGGTAAGGAAAGCATGCACTGAGTTTCCTGAATCTCCTTCAGTTCCCTGGTCTCAAACCCTTCATCACTGCAGCTGTATAGTTCAGGCTCAGGTTTAGCATAAGCTGAGACACAACAGAATATGCTTCTACTGTTAGTGCATGTTTTGGTTTCCTGTGTAACTCTGTGACTGTGAATGTAGGTTGAGGCCTGGGGAAGACTGACAGACTCCCAGCTGAGGTGCTCCATGGCTGTGAACCCTGAACTCAGCTCCTCACTTGCTCTCATCATCCAAGGACACCATCTGCCTCACAGGTACTGTAAACACACACAAACAGAAACCACTCTGCCTTGCTGTTTAAACAAACTGTAAGTGATGGATGCTCTTTTGTCCAGTAAGGACCTGATGGTGAAGCTGGTGCAGAATATCCCCAAGCTGTTGGTATACTTGCCCTCTCAGCTAAATGTTCGGTCTCAGGTGGGTTTTTATTCTCAAAGGCAGTCCTGTAGCAAAATGCTGTGCACAACCTGGAGTCTATTAACTGTCTGTTCTGATCCTCCTTCAGAGTTGTATTCATTATGCTGTTGTTTTAATGCATTTTTCAAGTAAGAGAATTACATTGTCATGACATGTGTCACCATCTCTCTTCCCTCTCTGTAGCTGAACCAGTCTCAGTCCAGCGTGGCAGGTTTGGTGGAGGTGTTTTCAGGCAGGAGGAGGCTGTGGGCTTTGGGGGAACTGACAGCCATTGAGAGTGGGTACAGACAAGCTGTAGAGCTCAAACACTCGTACCCACAGGTATTTCTAACCTGATTCTAAGCACCTTGTTTATGGCACAAGTCACAGCTTTGGTCCAGGAAAATGATATTTTTCTGAGGTGTATGGATGTTCTGTATTTGTCTGCACCAGCTTGGTGTTTTGATGAATCCCTGGGCACTGAATTGTAAAAGCAATCACTGTAGGGTAGTGGTTTGATAAAATCGCACTCTGCTATGCATCATATTGTACAGCCCCTGCCAGTGACTGGTTTTGTTCTCTAGTTGAAGCCACTCCCCAAGACTGTAGCAGTGAGGACAGTGTATGAAGCCAGGAACTGGAGCTACCTAGTTCAACATGGAGCCGTGTGGGGCAATCAGGAATTCAGCTTGTCTGGTCTCTACTCTGCTCCTGCAGTACTGGAGATGGGGAACCAGACCCTGAAGGGTAAACCACTGCACGCCAACTCTGCAGAGCTACACAACTATCACCAGGACAGTGTTCATTCCCATTATGTGTTTCGGTTGTAACTGGATTCATGCATCACAGATAAAAATACATAAACTTAACTGTTCTTGGCTGGCTATAGACTGTTGATGTCTTTTTTGTGTCCTTGCCTTTAGTTCAGATCAGCTGCATTCCTCGCTGGATCATTTTGGAGGTAACACTGGAGCGTTCCTTACAAGGCCAACTAGACAGTGTGTTACTGGGCTGGACAAGGCATGGGCGACTGGAGCAGGTCAGATTGTGAAAAGTGTGTCATAGCCCTGTAAAAATGGAGGGCTATGACTTTTGTTGGATCTGCTTTCATCTCTGGTTCAGTTCTCAGTCTCCTTTTGTGTCCCTCAATATGAACTTGACATATCTGGTTATGAAAACTTAGAACATATTTTTGTCAAATAAAATAAATACAAGCCACAAGTTCAGCTGTTTGGATTTCTGTTGAGGACTTTGTAGTCATAAACTGTGCTGTGTTCATCTGAAGGTCAGAGCTCTCAGCTCATGGAGTCGGTCAGAGGAGATAAATGAGACCAGGCTGGAGATGAAGCAGCCGTTCTCCTCCACGCTCCGCCAGGTGTCCCTTCATTCATTGTCACACAGCTCCAAGAGGGAGCGACGCAGCAGCCACCAGGTACATGAGGATGTTCGCACTTTTACCTATTAAATTTACCCCATTAAAATGCACATCTGTGATAGTTGTAGCGCATTTGTCTAAACTGGAATCATGTTCTGAAAACATCTAAAATTGTATGCATAACATTGGTTTTTTTTAACTTTACTACATTATGAACAATTTAGACGATTGTAGATAAAAAGAAATTAGAGTATTTTTCTTAATATTATTTCATACATCTTGTGTTTGTTGTATGCTTTTGTATATCATGCTTCCAGACCAGTCTGTCATGGGACAGTGAAGTCCCTGTCAACGTCTCGCTCACTGTGCACAGGCAGTGGCAGAACGAATCCAGCAGGGGACAGGCATGTGCTCTGTTTTCAACACAAGAGGTCGGTACAGTACATCTTCTACACACTCCTCACATACATGTTCTGTACATCTGTGTGTGTATGATAAGGCCTTATCGAGTGTCCAGTTCACTCTCCCACTCCTGTGTGTATGTGTGTGTGTAGATGGCAGTGTCTTTTGTTAAAGGTTGTGTGTCAGTGGGTCAGGAGGGCAACTCATATTCACAAAATGCAGAGCTAAGATGGGACAACAGAAGTGTCAAGCAAGGCATGAAGTACCAGGTATTCTGCTTCAGACTGTATGGAGAAGAATAATTTTCGAGACTTGGTCTCTCTTCATGTAATAACAGACGGGTGGTATTTCAAAAAAAAAAAATTCTTACTTTATGTTTCTGTGTTGTTTCCAGAGGGGTCCAGGGGGAATCCACAGCCTTCAGGTTAATGTTGGGTTAGACAAAGTGTCTCCTGCACCCTGTCTTTCACACACACTGCTGGCCAAAGTCCAGACCAACCTCAGGGATCATTTGGAGCACACAGTGATGCTGGGCCTCTGCCCTCCACAGCCTGTGAGTCCACACCTCTTTGCATGCTTTGTTTTGTCCTGGGAGCTGTTTGGGTTTACTCCCACATTGAAGACTTTCTACACTATCTATGGTTGTACTGTGATAGATGTGCATAATCTCTGAACTTGTGTCCCTGCAGACAGTTATTTTATTTATTTCAGATATTTGATCATTCCTCTTTGATGTGATACATTTTACACAATATATTTTTTCCTTGTACCTCAAATGACCTTGTATCCAAATCCTTCAGAATTAGGGGACGATGTACAGAAATAGGATTGTCTCTGTGTGTTTCAGATTGTGTCATGGTCGGGATCACACAGAGTGAACTCAGGAAAAGAGCTGTTTTACACGCAGTCTCGTTGGTCAGTGACAGGACGGCCATACCAGTGCAGCTTCACCCTGGCCCTCACCAATTCCTCTACCTCTCAGGGCACCAACATGTCTCTGTTTTCTGAGGTAAACAAACAGAACAGTCCTCTGGTGTGTCTCAGTTAAGAGCCATAGGTTCAGCTGGTTTAACAAGGCACCATGATGTATTTGGGGGTAGAGCGGGTCGTCTCCTAACCAGAAGATTAGCAGTTCGATTTCCAGTTTCTCCAGTCCACATGTCAAAGTGTCCTTGAGCAAGACATTGAACTCCTGGTGATCACCAGTGTGAGTGCTTGAGAGTGCAAATGGGTGAATGGCCAAATAGTGTGAAAGCGCTTTAAATGTGCTGCAATGCATAGAAAGGCGCTATACAAGTATAAGACCATTTACCATATTTATTTTACTGGGAACACTTTTTTTTATCGCAGTAGTTTAAAAGAGTAGTTTGATATTTTGAGAAATATACTTTGCTTTCTTGCCAAGAGGTAGATGAGGGGATGAGGTATATGAAAGAGGATTAGGGCCACTGTAAAAGATTTATTTGAATTGTGACTTTTTTCTCAGAATAGCAACTTTAATCTCAGAATTGTGACTTTAAAGCTGACTTTTTTTTAAAAAGTCACAATTCTGAAAAGTAAGAACTTAATTTTTTTTTTTTAAGTGGTCCTAACCCTCTTCCATAGATACTACTTTCACATTGTCAGTAAATATTAAGCTATAGCATGTTAGCTTAGACTGGAAACGGGTAAACAGCTAGCATGGCTCTGTGGTAAGAAAATTCACTGCCCACCTCTTTTAAGACTCACTAATAAACATGTTATATATTGTTTGGGAAATTAGAACAAAAAATTAAGTGTAAAAATGGCAAGTTGTGGTTTTGCAGTAGATTATGTGCTGGCCTATTTCTTGGCTACATCCTGGAGCCACTGTTTGTTATCTGGCAACATCATGTTGGTGACAAGACTCCAAGATGTTATTGCTCCTAGCCAAGACATTATGGTCACATTACCCACAACGGTACAAAATCAGAGCAGTGATTTTTGTTATCATAAAGTAAGAATATGTGTGTTTACACTTCACAGTCTACGATGGGTAACTGGAGTGTGGAGGTGGGGGGCAGTATCCTGTCGTGGCCCCGGGGGTCTGGTCTCCAAGTGCAGGCTGGACTGGACCACAGAGAGAAGATCTGGCTGAGTGGAACAGTACAGGGACAGTGTCTGCAGACCACTGCAGGTTATATGAATGGTAACTACAGAATCATCCCTGCAATATTTGTAAAAATGTAGAACTAATAAATAATGTTTAAATGTAATTATGAAGAATTCACTTTCCTCATGTGCAGGTCCCAGGCTTCATGAGGATCTCACTTTAATGGCATGTGTGCAAATAAATCACAGTTTGATACTGGATGTTCAGAAGAGAGACAGCAGTGGTAAATCTGCAGCTCTGGCCCGTGTCTCTGTGGGAACAGCCAATCACAGGCTGGTTCTGAGAGCAAGTGGCTGTTTGGAGAGTCTGACTGCAGTGGAGGTATCACCGGTATAAAGAAGTGGCTATGTTTTCACTTCAGGACAGTTAGACACTTATACATGCTGTTTGTTGTCATTTTCACAGACAAGGCTTCACTATTTGAGCTCTCAGATACAAACTAAGCTGTTGGAGAGAATCAAGACATTTCAGCATGTCCTTACTGATTTCAGACGACAGGTAACCACAACACACAAAGCTCTGGATAAGGTTTAGCCAATAATGTAGAGATCTAACTTTGATGTATAAATGGGCAGTTGTTAACATGGTGACTGTCTCTTCAGTCCAGAGACAGTGAGTTGCTCCAGGAACTGAGCTCTGTACCTCTTCACGTTTCCCATCACGTTGAGGCCCTGCTGGGCCACAGAGACAGAGGTGTGTTGGCTCTGTGGGAGAACAGCCCCCTTCGTCGTACCGTGACCAGCATCCTACCTCAGTTCCTGAGACTGCTGCAGCACACCTCTCTCCTGGGACAACAGGAACTGAGGAGTGAGTGCGGAAGGATGACGCTAACCTGTTATGTCAGTGTGATGGGGGCATGAGGATAAACAGCAAGAAGCTATTTCTGCTGCTGTCATATTTGATCTTTTTATTAGTCATAAAATCTGGCAGATTTACTTTTTTTAAATAATGTACAGACAGATCAAGAAGTGCAGATGAAACAGTGCATTAATGGAGGCCTCAGGTGTGAAAAAGCTTAAATCAAACCATGTCATTGTTTGGTGCTCCATCTTCAGAGCCCCTGGCCACTCTGGCAGGTGTGTACCAGGATGTGACGGGCCACAGGCTGGAGGTGCTGTGGTGGGAGGCTGTGTCATTGTGGACTGACAGGGTGGTGGAGGTCCTGCCTGCTCTGCTGGGGAACCCTCAGCTGAGGCCGCTGGCTCAGGCAGGCATTGCCGCTCTCAGGGTCGCCCTGAATGCGGTGAGGAACTTGTACACTGGTTCCTTATTGATCATATTTAATATAAGTGTGAGTGTGATTCTGTCACTGAGTGTGTTTGCATGCACATGGGGTTTGGGAGTTCCCTGTTTATGTTTTGTGCATGTGAATATCTCGGTTTCAAAACTCAGATTAAATTATATCCTGATTTGAGAAACACCTCATCCAGGTTTCTGATCATTGTTAACGTTTGTTGTGTCACCAGCTCAGGTTGTGTGGTAATTGTAAAACACATATGATGAGACACTTGTAAAATGATCAAATTTTGAAATAAAAATGAAAGTCTAACCTTGGCAATGCAGCATAGATGGAGAGGTTGTATAAAGTAATGTTGAGAAATGTCAAATTAGCTGGATATAAGAGAGACAAAGACAAAGAAACTTACACCAGTCTTATTAAATCATATACTCTATAAAGGAATGTTAGTATCTCATCATACTGTAAAACTATTATGTCTGTTAATGTTGTGTGCATTAGGCAGGGGAGCACACCTACCACTGGATGGAGACCAGGTTGGCCATGGCTCTGTCTGGAATCAGGAAACAACTGGCTTCTGTCTATAGAATCTCCCCCAGGTACTGCACATCTGAGAACTGCATGAATGAATACAGTATATCCCATCTTTCATATAGTCAGGTCCTTGTGTTCCAGTATGCTGATCTCACCCAGCAAGAACTAAGGGCAAAAGATGTGTAGGTAAAAACTATGACTTTGGTTTGAAGTTGCCTTTTACAGCAAACTGAAATATAGTCTTTTGAAGACTTTTCAAACAACAGTTACAAAGCTAAATTTAGGCCAGTTTTTTGACTTATACATCTACAAGTTACCAGTTCCTTCCTGTGCAATAGTCAAGTGCTCCCGGTTTTTTCCAGTGAGTGTTCAGTGAGTGTGTCGGTGCCACTGCTGTCGCTCCCCTGGTCGAAGGTGGCTGAGGCCGGGTTGGTGGAAATCCTTCTGGAGGAGTGGCTCCTGAAGCCCCTGCAGACCCTTGCCTCCATCAGACCCACGGCGGAACTTTACCACCTCAAGAGGAAGATGATGGACAGCCCATTTCTACGTAAGACAAACTCATGTTTACTATAATTTTTTTAAACAATGTATGCATAAGGCAGCTTTAAGAAAGGGGTTAGAAACATTTTACTTTACATGCCTTTTACTTCCTGATAATTATATAGGAAGACTCCTGGAAGTAACAGGTTTTGGTGCTACTTACTGAAGACATGCAGACAAAGTTCTGTTATTTCAGGTTGGTTGGTTTACTGCCTTTATGGGCATATATTGACTTCTAGATGGATTTTTTTTTCAAAGGGCACTTCCATTTCATTGATTATTGCAATCTTTATTCTCCTTATATGTTGAGTTTGTTTGCTTGCCTGTAAACACGTCTGGTGTTTTTGCATGCTCACCTAACCTGTTGTGCACTGACTAAGAGATTCTCAGTTAAATTGCACAGGTAATAACATTACACTCTGACAAGTCCATTTTTGAAAGATGGCCCTCAAGGGCTTAAAGTCAGCCTCTCTGTTTTTATTTTTGTCTCACTCAAACAGATCAAGCTCTGCTGGTGGCAGATCAGTTTGTGGTGACATTTGATGGCCACTTGTATGAACTTCCGGGCTCTTGCCCTCTGCTCCTCGCCCACGATGTCAGCACTGACCCTTCATTCACACTGCTGCTCAGTTCAGACTCACACACTCGCCTCCTGATAGAAATGAATAACAGCACCGTCAACATTCAACACAATGGACAGGTATGTTTTACTGTAGATGGCAAAACTTGGTTTAGTTAACAGCATGAATCAGTGGAGTGCTGGGGAAATTTAGTATTTTGAAGTGATTTCCTGCTCGTGGAATGAGAACTTCATGGTATATATGTAAAATGACGTTTGCAGCAGACAAGCTTATTTCACTATATCTGAAAAAATGAGCAAAACATTTCTCTCCCAGGTGAAGACCAACTGCGGCAACACTGTAACACAAACATTTTCCCGTGAGAGTGGGGTGGATGTCACAAGAGGGTCAAACATTGTGCAAGTGTCCAGTCAGAATGGCGTATCTGTGTCATGTGATCTGCTGCTTGAGGTGTGCATCTTGACTATCGATGGATGGTTACATGGTAGGAGAACTATGGTTGTACTGATACTGTATTTATTAACACTAATTTCAAACCTTTATGAAACATGTCATACTCTGGCACATATACTGTATGTGTTGTTTTTTACACAGGCACATCCACCGGTCTGTTAGGGACCAATGACAATGAAGTGGGGAATGATTTCCCTTTGCCTGATGGATCTCAAGCTGAGAACTTGGACAGCTTTTTCTATAGCTGGCAGGTAGGACGAGTGAGAATCAAATCCAAACTTCTTGTGTCTATAACAGTTTACACATTTGTGTTTGAAGGAGCTTGTTGACATTAAAGTATGTAGTTCCCATCTGCAGTTTGACCCTTTGTTTGTATTCTCAGATGCGACCAGAGTGTAGCAGACCTCCGGCTACAACCGAGCACTTTTCTAAAACAGCCACAAGTCCTGTGAGCTGCGACTATCTGTTCTCTTCTCCCGATTCTCCACTGAGTTCCTGTTTCAGGGTGGTGAGTAGGAAAACACTGCTTACATGCATGAGCAGCTTTGTACTGAGAATTATCTTCCATCCATCCATTATCTATACCGCTTATTCCTGAATAGGGTCATGGGGGGGCTGGAGCCTATCCCAGCTGACACTGGGTGAGAGGCGGGGTACACCCTGGACAGGTCACTAGTTTATCACAGGGCTGACGTGTAGACAAACAACCACACACACACTCACACTCTAGAATTACCTTAAAGACTGCTATGTAATTCATCACTTTTATCACTGTGTAATACTGTAAGTCACGTGAAACATGTCTGGAACGGTGCCCACCAGTCATCCCTGACCTTTCTTAAAGTATGATGGATTTCATGGCCAACATAAGACATGAAAAACATGCACTGCAAAACAAGCATGACTCATGCTCAAAAATGAAACATTCAAACTGGTGACACACAACATTCAAACATGACATTTGCATTCATTTCTCCGACTGTGTTGCTGTGGAGTACTTGGCATGATACACCTTAGTTGGAGGGGACTGCCATGCAGCAGCGATGTCCCCTATGAGGTGCCGTACGGGACTTTTTTCAGAATTATCCTCTCACAGACACATGTGAAACCAAAGTCTTTTACATACTATACTGAAAACCACTCACACATACAAGTGAAAACGCTCTCACACATACAACTGAAAATCAATTCAGTGAAACAGGAAGGCATTTCAGTGAAACCGGAACTATAAGCTGGTAATTTAAATCAAAACAGGCGCCTAGCAACTGTTGCTAAGACGCTTGGGTAGGCACCATCTCTCCTTTGATGTGCAGTCAGAAACCAATGACGTCATTTTCGGTCTACATACAAGTTTACGATAGTCAGACACAAACACTTGTGATTAGAGAATAGAGAGAACGGGTTTTAAATCAGCTCGCGTTACTTATTCATTTTACCGAAGTTCACAGAAGTTACTGTTTTAAACACGAGCTAAAATGAACGGAAGCACACAGACTGAGAATATCTTGGATTTAATGGTGGAAACGCTTCGCCCAGTGACCCAGTCCATTGTCCAAACCATGGCTGCGGAAAGGCACTTGGATGTTGACACACAATCACTGGTGCAAGACACGACTCTGCAGGTTATCCGATGCCTGGGTGAACGCTTCCATGTGGCCATTCGGGGCATAACCGAAAACAGCCCTAAAGAGCAAGTGCTGTCCAGTCTGGGCAGTGTACTCCCTCAGATTATTGATGAGGGTCTTAACATCAGAACAGAGGCATTCAGTGCCGCATCAGACCCGCTGGCGACCCTGACCACACATGAGGTTGCAGGAGTTGTAACCGGGCTCCTGTCTGGCAAAGACACAGCGGAGCCCGTCAAAGAACCGCGTGTCAGTCTACCGGGCAAAATTTGGGCCACGATTCGTTATGTCTTACAAATGTTAAAGGCCTCTGTGTCTACATGCTGTCCATGCCTCGCTACGTTCGGAAAACCCCAGACCCCTCTGGAGGTCGTCAGCGTGAATTCAGATTCGGAGGAAGATGAAACACAGATCACATCTTCTACGATCAGATCATCATCCAGCCAGGGAATGTTAGAAGACAGCACGTCTTGGGGAGACATAGCCTGGGAAATCGAGAGCCTACATGACGAGGCTGAACTGATTCCTCCAGTGCTAGAGCCCGATTTCAACTCTGTGGACTTTGAAGCGCCATTACCTCAAGAACGGGCCCAAGAACGTCGAGTTGAGCAAAGGACAGAAGCAGACCTGTACCTTGCGCGCGACCTCGAAATTCACATAATCCCAGATGACATTGCTGAGGTGTCGCTTAAAACAGAGAGTATGAAAGAGACAGGTGCTCCTGTGGACAAATACAGCTTCACGTGTTCCCTCGATAATGATGATGATGAAGAACTTTACAGGAGCATTTTCGAGCTGTATGCCAAAGCGACATTTTATGAAACCATGGTAAAGCTACAAAAGGATTTATTTAGTGACTGCACAGACACCAGCGCACTGCAATCTCAAATAGCTGGCCTGAACTCGCTGTTTCGGAACCTAGCAGGTATAGGTCCCTCGGCTTTCTGGGATGACCCTGACACAGCTGGTGAGTCCTCGACAGTCATTGTGCGGCTCAGGTCTATACTGATTGCCTTCGCTAATGACTTAGGATCACAGAGGTCAACAAGATTAGCGGGTTCCGTCAGAGGGCCAGTCAATCCGCCAAACAGAGTCTCGTATGAACAAGCAACTAACATAGTATGGTCTTACCAATCGATGTTAATAAATTGGTTCTGGGTAGAGTCACCAAATCTGGTGTGGCTAGTGAAGAGGCGCATAAACGAAGCAGCTCAGGCTTATCGCTCTCCCTCGGTAAGTGAGGAAGCATCAGACACGTCTGATGAGGAAACGACACGAATAAAAGAATGCGTGTATACCGCTGTTAAAAAGCTGCATTCAAGGTTTCAGGAAAAAGCAGGTGTCGAGATGACTATGGATCAAGTAGATACCCGCACCGAGCGACTGTTCCACAAAACATGGGCTCTCCTAGAGGGAGAACATTTTGACTTTAATGCAGACACATTACAACACCTGGACAAATATGTGTACAAGGACTTCTGCAAAAAAACCAGCAAGGCAAAGACGGTGTGTGAGGTGTTAGTGACGGGAACATCAGTTGAAGATTACATCGTCTCCCTTATCAAAAAACACATAATTAACCCACCAAAGAAAGGCAACAAGATCTGCAGGTTCTTTTCCAATGTGCGCAAGTCCATCTGCAAGCACTTCCGAAAGTAGTTTGTCTTAGGAAAAAAGCATTTTCCAGGTGTTTTGGGTTTACTCCGGGTGCTCTGGTTTCTTCCCATTTAAAAACGTTTAAGACTAAGAGCGGTTCAAAAGCCCTTAATGAATAAAATCAAACCAAGGACCATGACGTCGCCCGGCATGGCGCAGCCGGGGCCCCACCCTGGAGCCAGGCCCGGGGTCGGGGCTCGAATGCGAGCGCCTGGTGGCTGTACCTCCCCTTTCCTGTCACACTGTGAGTATACAACTAGTCTAAAGATGTGGAAAGCAGCATGTTATGTTTGAGTTTGAAGGCAACCGCATAGTCCCCGGCCAGGAGGAGCGCAGCCAATGTGAGCTGAAGAAAGCACTGTGTGTGTCTCATTCTTACACAAAACAAACCATTTGTTTTTCCAACTTCAGAAGGAAAACATGGTTAATTTTCCACCTTTGAAAACAATTCTTGTCTGACAATAGGACCACCACCTTGGCCTCAGCTGGTTGCAACCAAGCATGGCAGACTTAGGTTGCTTGGATCAATGCACATTGGTTTGATTGACAGATGGGGGTGGTGCGGCCTTGCTTCCCTGTGTTGTTTGGAAACACGGGCGCCGTTAGGGCGGGGAAAGTTAGGACGATTCTAAGGGCCCACGAACTTTGGGGGCCCACAGTCAAATTTTTTCATAGGGCCCAAAACTGCTAGTGGCGCCCCTGTTTTGGAAATATGTCAAAAGAAGGTTTTCCTACACGGTAAAAAGATGCAAAGCAACAGAATGAATGTTGTTACATCGTATACTATGCATAGCCCACACATAACTTTTTGCTGAAAGAATATATTCAGATGTAACTCCTTTGTAATCACCAACATTTTGATTAGTAACTTTAATTTAATTATATGTTGGTTTTGGAGTAACTGAAACTGGTTGCAGTTACATTCATTTTGTAATTTAATTACATGTAGGCAGCACGGTGGCACAGTGGTTAGCGTTGTTGCCTCACAGTGCAAAGGTTCGGGCCCCACCTAGGACCTTTCTGTGTGGAGTTTGCATGTTCTCCCCGTGCTTGCGTGGGTTCTCTCCGGGTACTCCGGCTTCCTCCCACTGACCACAGACATGCAGCTTAGGTTGATTGGTGTCTCTAAAAAATTGCCCATAGGAGTGCGTGTGTGTGGTTGTTTGTCTATGTGTTAAGCCCTGCGATGGATTGGCGACCTGTCCAGGGTGTACCCCGCCTTTGCCCGATTGCCGACCGGGATTGACCCCGCTCAGGGATTAAGCGGTAGAAAATGAATGAATGAATTACATGTAGGCTAATTAGTTATATGTAACTAGTAACTCCCCAGCACTGGTTGCCATGTTTGTGTTGTTTTAGGCTGAACAAACTGTTATTTTCATTTGTTTTTATGTAATTATTCTCTGGCCTAAATATGACATTTTAGTTGTGCCAATTAGAAATACATCAAAATATTGGACTATACTGCTGCTTGACATGGCCTTAAATTTAAGGATGTGACTTCAAGACTGAATTCAGGACTTGGTATCTGCCAGCCAAAACAAATGGCAGCTAACTGTCATTTTCATCCCTGGATGATGCTGTTTGTGAGCCTCACGTTTTCACCAATGTGTCTGTGTCATCAGGTGGATCCTGGCCAGTTCTTGTCTGTGTGCGAGCTGAGCACTTCCAGAGCCCCGTGCAGATTAGCATCTGCTTTTGTCCATCTCTGCCAGCAGAATTACATACCACTGGAGGTCCCTGTCCAGTGCAGTAAGTTAGCAGGCATGATGTGCATGGTTGGAGTCGAGATGAGTCCCATCTATCTGACAGTACTGTGTTCTCATGATGGCAGAAAACCTTTGACATATTTTTAATATTCTTGTTTTTCTTTTTGTTTCAGTGAAAGTATGAGAGAAGGATGAAGATTTATGACCCCTGTTAGCTGCTAAAACATCTACACTCTTATACCACTGGCTGTGCTACATTCATTTTCCTCATACATTTTTTTTAAATTCAAATTTGTATCCTATTCTGTAGCTTTTGTCCTGTTTAGACATGCAGATATTTTAACAGCAATGTGAATGTGAACATGCTAACTATAGCAAGTAGTTTATAATAATCATACGGCTTCTTTTTTGTATTTTCTGTGGTTTGTAGTACAAACACTAAGGATATTTGTGACTGACTTTAGTGCAACTACAGTAACTAGTCCTCACAATCAAACCTGGATCATATGAAGATCAACAAATAGTTTTTATACAGTTTGATAAAGTGCCTTTAATACATAGTTGGATTCTGTGTATATTAAATACATGTTTTCTTTAGTGCTTGCTCCTTAGAAGATGGGTATGTAGTTATGTATTTTGGATTTCTGTCTCTGCGTGACACACTCAGCGATCCAGATGATGTTACGGCTTTCCTGCTCCTTCAGTTTGATGTAGGAGTAAAACACTCCGAAGTGGAACTGCTGCAGGAAGGCAAGTTTGTTCAGTTTCACCTGGGAAAAGATAAAAGGGTTGAACCCACTTGGTGAGACAGAAATGCAGGTTCATGCACAATTAACACATTCAGACAATCAGAATTGAGAACACTTTGCTATGTGTTTGCACTGTTTGTTGTTAAGAGTAAATCAATCCACTCACTGGTCGACTTATCAAGATAGCTGAAACACACTCCCCATACATTTAAACTGAATTCTGAAATCCCACACTTGAAAGGCAGACGGGTGAAATGTATTATTTATGTCCAAATATTTCTGCTATGTGAGACGTTCATGGTACACTATACCCTCACTGATGGACAAAATTACCTCTTGTTCAAAGAATCTGTCCTCCAGAGTCTTAAAATGTGATCCCGGCTCAGGGTCACCAAAAATGGTCTTATATTCCTGTAGAGAGGTTTAGGCTGAAGTTAACCACACATCTGATTGAATTTAACAGCAGTTACAGCACAGTAACTCTTATTAGGGAGTCATCAGACTCACTGGGTAACAGTCAGCCACAGCTTTGACCTGCTCGTGGTCCTCTGCCATGGTGAGCAGCCGCAGCCCTTCAGGGTAGAGTTTGCCACAGGATGGATACAGTGCACTCCTGTCTGCACCGCTAAGGTCTGTCCCAAAGGAGTTCACAGTGATGATGAAGGCCCGCCTGTCTGCCTCAAACTGCAGCAAGCATACAGACAGAGATTTTACACCAAACGTCTCCTATAGTATGAAAAACTTCAACAAATGCAACCTCTGATGTGGAAATAGTCACAGTACCTCCAGGACCGGACACATTACATCCTTTGTGGCACCGCCAATGTCCTTACAGAAGGCGTGGAAGGACTCTAAATATGACTTTGGAAAAAATTATTTAGATTTAATACCTTGAAAAACAGATAATGTGTGCTTATGTAACACAGGTTAAAAACCTGATGTCATCCAGTTGAGGTCACTTAAGTTTCTTGGGTGTTAAACATGACACCGTAGTAAATCCTACTGTCGAGAATTTTTCTGAGCAGACATGCACACACACAGACAGCATTGTAAATTATGGTAGCTGTATATGTCACCCTGTGGTCACCTTATACAGTTTGTTTCTCAGGATCTCAGCTTCCATTTCATCCAGTTTGGCCTCGGATACGACATCCTGGAAAAACTGAGCTACAGCACAAACATTGGACAGATTGATCATTAGTTTGTATCAAACACAGAACTTTAATATAGAGACCCATTTCTGCAACGAAAAACTACCTAAAAAGGTTAGAGTTAATAAAAAAGTTTAACATATTTTGCTGCTAAATAAATTCAGTCAACTAACCAGTAATCCTGTGCACAGCTGCATGTTCATATATCCAACAGAGTGACAAACTGGAGCAGGACAATACTTTGTGACTACAAGAGAATAAATCAATCATCTTTGGGGATAAAAGGTAGATTATTTGATCGTCTACCTAGTGGTGTGTCCACCAGGATCGCTGAGTAGAGTTCAGTCGGGGTGCGGGCAATGCCCACTGCTGCCATTTGGTCGAAAGCTCCCAGTGGGTGACACCGGGGGAGAAGCTCTGCCACATCTCTCTGTTTCAGGGCCCCAGTAATGAGCATCACTACATTGTCGATCATGTAGCTGTAACTATGGCAACACAGAGAACAGAAGACCTTTTATTTGTCTGTGTGGCATTGTGGCATTGTCTGTTCCCTCTTGTTGTTGACATATTTCCTTTTCAAAAACAAATGCTATTTTCAAAATAAAGAACTAGAAGCACACAGTGAAAAGAGTTTTCTTTGAATGTAATAGACTGCATTATTAAAGAGGTCCGGCTGTGTTACAAACAAGCTAGACGAGTGCTCTTGGTCTGTGTAAAGATAATGCTTTCCACAAGGTAGAGGTAAAAAGAAGCATTGTCAAAATTGGTATTCAGCCAAAACAGAGTTTTCAGCTAGAGGAAGCAAGAAAGTGTGGAATGAATACCACAGGAAATACATTTGTAATATAGTTATGTGCATGTGCTGTAACCATTTACAGTAATGTCATAGCATACGTTATGTAGTCAAGGAAGGTGGAGAGTGGTGGCAGAGCGCTGGAACGGAGGCAGCTGAATTCAGTGACCAGGCTCTCTGTCAGCTTGCTGTCCACCACAGACACAGTCAGATCCTGTTCAGACGAGGACAGCAGCTTCCCGTAGTCTGTACTCTGCAGGTGCAGCTTCATGTCTGAGTCAATCAATCAATCAATTGTGTATAGCACAATTCATACAACGAAGTAGCTCATAGTGATTCACATAAAATATAACAATTTGCATAAAACTAAACAGATAAATCAGATGCAAACACATTAAAAGTTAAGCTAAAATGACTCACTGAGGTTGTTGAGGTTTTGTCTCTGTTTGCTGGAAGACTATTGCCTAATTTGGGTGCATAGATGGAGCAAATGTCATTTCCAGTGTCTTTATAGGCACAGTACTGAGAAAGCAGTTGCAGATTTAAGGGTTCAGCCAAATGGGCTGGACCTGAATGATTTTAGGCGTCATAGAACGACCCCAAAATCCATTCTATACACTACAGGTAACCAGTGTATTGAGGCCAGACCTGGTGTAATTTGGTCTTGTTTTCTTTTATGGGATAGAGATAGAATTCTGTTAATTATTGTTGCAGGGAGACCAGTTAAAAGGGCAGTGCAATAATCAAGTCTACTTTTCTTACAACATGAAAGAGGTTTTGTGCATCATGCCTAAAATGACATTGCCTAAAGGTTTAGTACTCAACTCCTTTTTTCACCTCTCTCTTTGCCCAGCATGTGTCCTGTACATAAAACTGCTCCAAGATTAGTGTTTCCACAGTAACTTCCTGTAAGGCTGCAGTTACAAATAAGGAAGAGGTGAATCATAATAACCTATGGTGTATATATGACTTAAACACAGCTGACAGTGACTAACTATTAAGTATGTGCAACCATACAGATTACATATGCAAACATACTGTATATGCTAAATTAATATACATCAAATTCAAAATTTTTCCTTCCTTCATCTTTACTGAGTGCACGTTCTCACTCAGAGAGGATTGCCTGATTCCTGCGAAGAAGATTCAGATTATTGTTTTGCCTTGATAAGTGAGATCCAGTTTAACTGGGTAAATCAGGTGGTCCCTGTCAAAACTGCACTGCCAATATTTTTCAGACACTCCTACAAACATGCACAAGAGTTTCAAGTACATTTCTGGTAAATCTTAATAACACAACAAAAGCATAATAATGATGCTGATGATACAGTATTCTTACCATCAAGTGTGTCACACTGGGCCAGATTCTGGTAGTCAGTCTGAGTCAAAATCCCAGCCTTCATCCCTCGAACCAGACCTTCCAGATAGCCGTGATCAACGTTGAAACTGAGCTCTGCCATGATGCCAGAGAAGCTCTCAACAAGCTTGGCTGCAGCTGGAGTGATATGTAAGATGTGTTTCTCTCTCTCTTTCTCTCTTTTTTTACAGTAACTTCCTCATTGTTCCCTCTCTGACTAACATTCATGTAGTTATTTGCTTCCTCTTTTACACAAATAAATTCCATAGCTGCCCTATAAGTGTTTACTGCCTCACTTCCTGCTCTTGAATGTATTTGCTATGCAGATTAATTGCTCAATTTATCCCTGAATTAAAGCATGACTCTAAAAAATGTTTGTTTTTTTTACTGTTACTATATAAATCAAAAAATGTCCTGATATTTGACTGGACATCATGCAAGAGAAAATGGAACAAAGATAAAACACAAGATAAAAAAATCAGCTCCACTGTTGATCCACTGACAGGTGGGGGCAGTTTAGAGTGGAGGATGCCCAAGATGACAGTGTTGAACGCTGAGCTGAAGCCCACAAAGAGGACCCATGCACGAGCACCCAACTACCACCAACATGCAGCGCTCCCAGCATCTTAGCGTACATGTGTTCTTTTCATGTGTGAGAATCAATCTGTGCCGTATCAGGCAGCAGAAGACAGATCAAGTGGATTCTGCTACAGTAGATATCACGTTTGACATTTATTTTGTTTCTTGCATATTTCTGTTTAACCTGCTGACCTTTCCTTTTTGCCTTGCTCCCTTTAACTGCTGTTGATTTATGCACTTTATCTTACATAATCGGACGCAGCCCATATGTTCAGCTCTGTGAACTTTAGTGGGTTAGCCCCATTATGAACATATGACTGAAATGTGATTTAGTAGCACTTCACCCTTTGCTGTCTTCTGTTTACAGCTACCAGTTGTTCTTTATGAATTCAGTTATCTATTGTTACATCTCATTATGGGCTCATTTTTGTGAGCAGATGTTTTTCCTTCTCTTTTCCATGTGACAAGGAGACGACATGGTGTCAAACAATATAATGTACTGCAGGCTGCCTGGAGAGAATCTCATGTTTTCTAAATGATATGTTTCACTGCACTGGAAAAAAAATCAGTAAGGAAAAACACACAAAAAATTGAGGGCAGAACACAGGCTTACATCTATTTATTCAGTAAAAAAAATATAAGCTTTCCTCAAAAATCCACATGCGAATAATAGTTACTTCCTCACTGAGGGACCCCAGATCATCTCTTCTCCAAGGCACAGTTTACTTATGAACAGGAATTTCTCTTTTAAATTCAGATGTTAACTGTTAACGACCCAAATCACACTATTTTGTTTTACTTTTTCCACATTTAGTCCATAACCCAGTGAGTAAAAAAAAGAATTTGCTGTAGCTTCTAAAGTAAATCCAATTATTGGGGTCCCCACAAGTTTAGAAATGAAAAAGATACTCAAAAGCAACAGGAAACACCCAAGGCACAACACAGGTTACATGTGATTGTCTACATGTGTCACACATCCTGTGTTATATCTACATATACTGTATGTTTGGATAATCTGTAAACATTTATGAGTTTTTTTTTTTTCATATTCATGCCTCAGAAGGCTAAAGACAGAAAAACACTCCATCACTTCCTTCATTCTTCCACAGGCAATAGAAGGAACCTTCTCTTTAAGCCTCAGTCTGTTTATGGTTTTTCAAATGCTTCTACTTTAATCTGAAATGAACTAAAATATTCTTTGTTCTGCACTTGTGCTGTAAAAGATTTAAAGCCACAGTTCAGAAGGCAGCGTACTGTATGTGTATCACTACCTCTGTCCAGGTGCTGCGTGTGTCTGTGCAACTGTGTGCTGCCTCTACGTCTTCTTTGAGCACAGGGGGTTTATCTTCCAGCAGTGACAGATGGTGTTGAAGAGTCGACAGCGGCAGGAGGCACAGGGATCACAACACAACATGTGAGAGAAGCAGTTCTCCATCAGGCGGCCGCAGCGACGTGCAGGGGTTATAACGTCTGACTTTTGTTTCTGAAACAACATCAACAAAGACAGAAGCTATAATAAATGTCTCTCAACACAATAGACAAGTAGTTTCAATCCTAGTTTAGTTTAAATTCCTTTGACTCAAGTTCTGTGGAAAAGCATATTTTAAATAGAATTAAACCTTAAAGCGGCACTACTCCGAATTTTTCAGTAAGAGCAGGTCAAATTATCACGTCTAATGTGAAATGGGACACTCATAGTATCAAATCTAGAGACAGTTTTCACCCAGCTCCTCAATTCCCCTCAGCTTTACAGAGAGTTATCAGTGTTGTCTTGAGACAACAAGCAGCTGTTTTTTGGAAAATAAATAAGTGAATGAATAAACAAATAAATAAATCTATACTCTACCTGCCCAGCACTAGTCATGGCCAGAAACATGACTGCAAATGAAAGCTAATGTTGCTTCATATCTACTGGATGTGCTAATAAACAGTTGTTTGCTAACACCCTCACTATATCAACTGTACACCTTGTCAGCTCATGTTGTGTGGAGAAGCATAGTTTAAACATAAAGAACAAAACTTTAAAGCTGCGCTTATCAAAATGTTTCAGCACAGAATGGGTCAAATTATCATATGTCATATGTCAAACCCAGATAGTTTATTTTGTTAGTGTTTGTTGACAATGTGTTTTCAGTCTGTTAATTATATTGTTAATGAATTAATGCAGATTAAAACATATAGTACTTTACTTTCAAGCCTCTACATAGAGACTTTAATAGTATTTGTCAAATTATTGTAATGGTTTAAGATTTAGTTGGAGAAATTTGAAAATCCACGTGAGGACACATTGCTCTCTGCCATTATACTGCCATCGAGAGCACCTGAGTTGGAATTTTTTAAATAGCATTTTTAAACATACCAAGTAAGACACAATGAGTTGTGTAAATTATGTACAAAAATGCATCTAATCTGTTCTCTCAGTCTTATCTTGTTTACTTGTCTACTCGTTGCCTTATTAAAGATGAACATTGTACACACACACTGAGAGCCACTGTACTAGAGTCAAATTTCTTGTGTGTTCAACAAAACCTGGCCGATAAAGCTGATTCTGATTCTGAAAAAACAACAAAACAGCAACAGCAAAAACATGCTGAAATCAAACTGCCATCAAAAATTGTCTTATTTAAATATTTCACAGTTTCTGTGCTGTAGTTTCAATGACATATAAAAACAAGCAGGCACACAATATACTAATACTAAAGTGTGTTGTCTAACTCTAAAGCACCTTAAAATTAAAGGATAAGCCTTAGATTAAAACTGACCAGTGCAGATACAGTACATGGACACACGTGCAACAAATACAAATCTGCCATCTCTGTTTACATACAGTACAGGCACAGCCTTTTCAAGCATTCATGATTACTGAAATGTTAGTGAACATAACACTGGCATTATATTGCATAAAGGCAGTTTATTAAGAAGAACAAAGAAAACTTACAGGAACATGATTTTCCTGTGGTGGAGAAATCTTTCGTCTTGCAAACAACTGCCTGGTCTTCACTCGACTCCAAACTAGGGATGGAAAGAATAAAAATAATAGAAAAATCCATTTTACTATCAATAGGTGCATAAGTATCTACAGTCTCAGTGTGGAGAGCCCACATCAGTCTATGATAGCCACATATCATTTTTTTATCCAGTCATTCCCTTCTTTTACTGTATATTATGAATTGCACCATAATTGTAACTGTTAAATGCATATTACATAAAAAAATGAAAATAAAATCTGCTTGAATGTGGGGAAACATCACAAATGGTTGAAACCTCACCTGTGTCATCATCAGTCTTGCCCACATCTCTCTTCATGTCCTCTGCCCAGGACAACGAGAATATAAGCACGAAGAAGCACAGGTGTTTGTTGATGATCTTCCTCATGATGATGATGAGATCTGTTGATGACACCGAAACAAATAAGTAAATAAATCACTGAGTGTAGATTGTAAATAATTCGTGACTCACGCAGTTCTTCTCCTGCAAATCCTCACTTTGGCTCCTTCACCTTTCTGTGGCTGTGAGGGGGTGCCTCTGTCTCCAAGAAGGGGAGGGGAACGACGAACAATAGAAACAGAGCTGCCCCCACACGGCAGACTGGACACATGGCAGGAGTTGGTTGTCAATAAGCGACAGTTGCCCTGGCAACAGACAAAACCTCAGGCTCAGGTAGGAAATGAATAAGTGCCAGCAAAGCACAGACAGAGAGGCCCTGTACACCCGGCACAGGGAATTTAGCCCTGAGGGCAGGAATAATATAATGAATGGGGCTATTAAGTTGTATTACAGGAACAGTAGGATCCAGTGTTTTTTGACCCATTCTAGAGACTAATCTTTCAGGCCTGCAACTTTGTGAAAGTGAGATATTAAATCACCTAAGTACCTTTCTAGGGGTTTACTTATTTTTTCCATGTAGACTAAATCTTTACTTGATTTTTCTCACAAGTCTGACAAGAACTGCTTACTGGACCAGCTGGTGTTTCAAAATCACTTGGTAAGCCTACATTTTAGCTGCTCATGCACTGTACCTAATTTTAAGGACATTCACTTTACTTCAGTTATTTAATTTCTTTAGGTGCACATTAATCTGTGCACAGTCAGGGTCCTTTGAAGTGTTCTGCAAGTTAGGGCAGAGACTATACTGTATATATGTACACAGTATAGGCCTATACAGCACATTTTCAGGCACTAACAGTGTTTAGAGTCTTATCCATCACAGATATCTGGTTGGTCCCACTTTCACCCTATGGCATGACAACAATCCGAATTATGCAAACATAAAAAACTATTTTCAGAGTCAGGAAAGTCAAGGAGTCATGCACCAGATGATGTGGCACCACAGAGTCCTGATCTCAACATCATGAAGTCAGTCGTTTGATTACATGAAGAGACAGAAGACACGGAGACATCCTTTATACATTCCAATAGGGTGGGTGGGGCCAGGTGAGTGTCAAGGGCACTGTCCCAGATGAAGCCCAGAGCATCATGGAGCATGGCTGTAAGATGGCACCCAGAGACAAGCTGCTAAGTCTGAAGCAGCAGCAGACAGGGAATGAAAATCAAGCAAAGAAACGTGCCATGGCAAGTCAAGACCCTGCATGAGCTGTACCACCAACAAATAGCTGAGGTGGCTGACACTGGAAGATCCTACCAGTAGACAGGACCCCGAGGCCCCAGGGACAGTCCAACACATAGTGGTCTGGTCAAAATACAGACAGGAATTACATACTCCGAATGGCACAACCAAGAAGCATTATGTACAGAAAGATCTGTGCTGAGAATGGTCCCAGGTCCAGATGAGAGAATCCTCAGAAAGTTGTGGAGAACAACAGGGCAAAGATCTTGTGGGCCTTCCAGATCTAGGCAGACAGTTTGTTTCACCAGATAGTAAAGGCATCGTAGTTTTGAAGCATCACTGCTGTTGCTACTGTATGGTTACTTTCAGCTTGTATGAGTGGGCTTGATTAGGATGAAGGAAGCACTGAAAGTTTAAATTGTCATTATGGCAGAAGCAAAACCTAAGGTGAAAATATTTATACTTTTTGAGTCATCATCATGGACATTCTCTACATGGTTCTCAATGGAATCAGTAGTCTGCATTACAGAAGAACATGTTTTGGTCAATACTGGACAGCTCTAGGAACATGCAGTGCATTTCCATTTCAATGATCAGGTATCACTTTTACATAGACTGACTCTGACCATGACTTAGATCTAACAGTATTCATGAGAGTGATAAGAACAGAACATTATGTTCCCACTGCCCATTTATTCATATGCTGTGGCTTTACTTTTGGAAACTGATATTAAAGCGCCACCTTCTGGTCATACTTGTCTTTTGTTTCAAAACACTTGGAAAACAAGAAAAGGTAAACACATCACTTACTTTATTAACAACAAAAGTGAACAAGTGAACGTATGTGAACACACCAGCTGCACATTCTGAAAACATGGCTTTTTGGTTTTGGTTTTCTTATGTCCTTTGAATTTACAATGAAACAGGTGAAACAGTGGTGACCACTATTCCAGTGAGCTCCATCAGATTATATGAGGCAGAGCAAATGTAAGTGTATCATTAAATCTGCAGCAGAACATGAATATCAAAGTTCACATTCATTTTCTGCTAATTAATGTTTTACATTTCCTTGGTTTTATTCCTATGAAGTATCACGTCCACTTTTATTGATGTCTTCTGTGTGTGTTTTGGTATATGTACTGTTAGCTCACAAGGACGTTCAAAGGTTTGTGAAGAAAGTGAAAGTAATCTGTGAAAGGGAATATTATTTCAATGCAGTGTACAGTATATATAATTCCACTATATTTTTTCAAACTGTGCAATTCACATTTTTACTTCACTTCCTTCACCAGCAGGTCGATGTGGTTCTCCCTCTCTTCTAGGGTCATCTTCAAAGTGTCAACTTCTCTCCGCTTTTACATTTGCTCTGCCTCATATAATCTGAGGAAGAAAGTTATTTTCCTTCAGAGTCTCACAGGGTCAGGGTGACAGGTCTCTCTACCAAACTTTTCTCAAGGCGCCTTTCACCCTCTGACAGTGTGGATGAACCCTCCAACACAACTCCTACTCCAGGAGTCATCTGGGCTGGGAGTCTCAACTGCAGCACCCCAGAGTACATGCCTTCTTACCCAGGGACTACTCTGAAGGTGAGACCTCAAAGTTGTTAAATGACAAGCTAGTATGTACGGGGGACTCCCTTGAAGTCCAGGACCTGCATGCTCCAATCCAGTCCACAGGGAATAAGAGTGGAGCACATGAATGGTCTTATACTTGTACAGTGCTTTTCTATGCTTTTACAGCTCACTCAAAGCACTTTCACATTATTCGGCCATTCACCCATTCGCACTCCCAAGCACTCCTGCACCAGTGACATCACCAGGAGCAACTGGGGGTTCAGTGTCTTGCTCAAGAACACTTCGACATGTTGACAGGACAAGCCGGGAATTGAACCACTAAATCTCCGGTTAGGAAACGACCTGCTCTACCTCCTGAGCCACAGCCGCCCCAGAAGCAACCACCTGAGGTTTAGATGCTGTTAACAAGCACAGAAGGTGAAAGACCATGAACACGGAAACACACAGAGTCACATACTCTTTCTGGATCATCAAAAACACTACAGGGACACTGTATAAGATTTAGCTGCAATAATAATGCACTGAGTGGTTTGGTGAGACCTTCTGCTTCACAGGAGTTTCAGTCTACAAGAGGACAGCAGAATCACTGCCATGTTCGCAATGAGTCTTTGTCCTCACAACAGGAAGAGTTCTAAGTAAGTAAACCTACAAAAAGTTAAAGTAAAAATTAAAAATTTTTAACATTAACATTTATGTCTAGTAATAATATTACCATATTATTGGAAATCTAGCTATTCAATCAGACACATGAATACAAAACAAAAATGTAAATAAAATATTTCCTGTTTAAATCTTGAACAGTTAGAAATATAATAGGAATGTTATAGTGATACAATCGTAAACAGTGATACATTAGATCACAACCAGTTGATAATATAATGAGATTGAATTAACCACAGTTTACTACTATTAGCCGACTAAAATAGTTAAAGATTCGTGGCGTAATTGCTGTGACATAACTTAAGAAGCTATAATAGTTTTTTATACTGACATGTATTCACACCTCACAACAACAACACGTTGGTGGGAAAACCCACATCTGGGGAAGTCCAGCATGTTAGAAAAACCCAGATGTATCAGTTGCGTTCAGGTTTTGAGGAGGTTTGTCCGTGGTCCAGCGAAACTAAAACTAACTAAACTGCGGATTTGAGGCCGAATCCAAAAGATAATGTAAACTATTTATAAACTCCGTCTCATCATATTTAGTGTTGCACCGCCTATACTTATTTTGTCCTGGATTTAGAATGTGTATGTGCTCCGAAGGGTGTTGGCAAAATAAAGTCAAAATTTAAGCCAAACGTGTGAACCTCAAAAAACCTACGGCCTTGGACGCAACTCGTCCAAACCCTGAAGCGTGTCGTCATTAGCAACAACAAACCCACCAACCTTAAATGACAGCGGAGCTCTGCAGCGCCTGTTACCTCTCTTTGACTCAGCCTATGAGACAGCTGCTTGGAGGAAGTCTGCCATTGTGTTCTGAATAAACGGGAAAGTGAAAGCGCTGACATTTTATTCAGGTCACTGGGTGCACTGCTTTTTCGTTTGCAAACGGACGAAACGTTTGTCGGTCGCTTTCTACCAGCTGTCCTCCTTCTCCGCTACATTAATGTTAGCTTAGCTTGCTAGCATGATGGCATGCGTGTAAATGGGAGAGCTCTTCCTCGCTACGTTTATCTAAAGAGGCAGTTCTACTTTCAGTGGCCGATCAAGTGAACAACAAACCGCTATCGCCCCAGACGCTTCCCGTAAAAGGTTGAAGAACTGCCATGGAGCAGTCCGCGGCTATGGGCTGTGTGAACATTGGCAGTCTGACCAGCACCTTGCCGGTGATCCCCTACCAGAAGCTGACCGACCTGTACTACCTGAGCAGAGGGGGCTTCGGCACCGTGTTCAAGGCGCAGCACTCCGACTGGAGGACCACTGTGGCCATTAAGTGCCTAAAGCTCGACTGTCCTGTGGGAGAAAGGTACCCCGACCATCGCACGTACCAATTTAGGCCACGTAACGTTGCTCTGTAGGGAAGGAAATGAAACTGAGCTAAATCTAATGATTAAGATGCCCGCTTAAACAATAGCAGGCATTGTGTTGTTCCAGTAGAATCACGTGAAGTCGAGTCGAGTCGCAGTCAGTCGTTTATAGTGGAAATCAGACCATCAGCATTTGAACTGACCACAGGGAGTCAAATGTTAGACTCGAAGTCGAACCAGATGAATCCATAGTGTTCAGGAGTTGTTACTTTGTGTGAAGCAGCTGCAGGGTCTGTCTCAGTATGTTAGTCTTCCTGCAGCTTAGATGGTGAAAAGTGCTGTGACGCCCTCAATCCCTCTTGTAATAATAGCTGAATAGTCCACTTTCAAGTTGGGATGGATCTTCGAGTTTGATTTTGATGTTTAAGAGTTTAAAAATTTGATAAACTGATAATCTTTTCTGAACATAAGCACATAAACCTATATTTTTTAAAGCATTTAATTGGCAGGATGTTTTACAGTAGAAAAGTGACCTTGGACAAATACTTCAAACGTATCTAGGTGTTTCTGTGCTGTTATTGGTTGACATAAGCACCAGTATGTCTTCACGGAGTTATTATTAGCCAATGTATTGAATAGATTTTATTGGTAAGGCTTGAATAAGTGCTGTAGAGTTGCACATTGCATTCTCTCTGGGTGAGACGCAGGGTTTGTCTCTAGATAACCTCATCGTTCTGCCTTCCTGAATTTGTGAGTTGACAAAAAAACTCTCTCTGATTCACACAATTGAAGCTGAGCAGGCCGAATTCTTAAGAAATGTTTTGAGTAACATGACCTTTAATTCCCCATTTATGGATGGGTGGTAACAATACCATCACTGACAGATTTTCATAGTGTGATGATATGATTCCTTGATATATTCATGAAACCATTTTTGTCCAGATTTATGGTTCAGAGCAACCTAGGCTTACTAACAAAATTAAAAGTGTTTTGTTTGAGACATGTAAAGGTTTTCAGATGATAATGAGCCCTGATAACAATCAAGGTTCATTTCTTTGCCTGTACCTGTGTGTGCATCAACAAAACTGAAAATACCATCACTGTTTTGATGTTTTTATCACTCTGCCTGAGGGTAAATACCGTCTCTGTGTCACTGGCTGTGTTTCAGGGAGAGGAACTGCCTGCTGAAGGAGGCAGAGGTGCTCCACAAAGCCAGATTCAACTACATCATCCAGATCTTTGGCATCTGCAACGAGCCCGAGTTCTTCTGCATAGTCACAGAGTTTATGAGCAATGGCTCTCTGGACCTGTTACTCCACGAGGTAGCTATACGTCATCAAGTAACATCAGAACACTGAGGAACTGCTCTAGTCCTAACATCAAGTTTGATTTACATTCTTAATTAAGAGGACATGCACTTTTCCTGGGTATAAGCTTTTATATTGTTTCATTTCTATTTCACTCAGAAAAGAACAAAAACTGGGTGTTTTGATTTGACTTGTACCACATTTACCACCTTGTATTGGGTCAAATGTCACATATTGAACACTGAGAATCTTTTACAGTGGGTACGGAAAGTATTCAGACCCCCTTAAATTTTTCACTCTGTTATATTGCAGCCATGCGCTAAAATCATTTAAGTTCATTTTTTTCCTCATTAATGTACACACAGCACCCCATATTGACAGAAAAACACAGAATTTTTGACATTTTTGCAGATTTATTAAAAAAGAAAAACTGAAATATCACATGGTCATAAGTATTCAGACCCTTTGCTCAGTATTTAGTAGAAGCACCCTTTTGAGCTAATACAGCCATGAGTCTTTTTAGGAATGATGCAACAAGTTTTTCACACCTGCATTTGGGGATACTCTGCCATTCCTCCTTGCAGATCCTCTCCAGTTCTGTCAGGTTGGATGGTAAACATTGGTTGACATTTTCAGGTCTCTCCAGAGATGCTAAATTGGGTTTAAGCCAGGGCTCTGGCTGGGCCATTCAAGAACAGTCACGGAGTTGTTGGGAAGCCACTCCGTTATTTTAGCTGTGTGCTTAGGGCCATTGTCTTGTTGGAAGGTGAACCTTCGGCCCAGTCATGTCCTGAGCACTCTGGAGAAGGTTTTCGTCCAAGATATCCCTGTACTTGGCCGCATTCATCCTCCCCTCGATTGCAACCAGTCGTCCTGTCCCTGCAGCTGAAAAACACCCCCATAGCATGATGCTGCCACCACCATGCTTCACTGTTGGGACCGTATTGGACAGGTGATGAGCAGTGCCTGGTTTTCTCCACACATACCGCTTAGAATTAAGGCCAAAAAGTTCTATCTTGGTCTCATCAGACCAGAGAATCTTATTTCTCACCATCTTGGAGTCCTTCAGGTGTTTTTTAGCAAACTCCATGCGGACTTGCGGCCAAGTACAGGGATATCCTGGACGAAAACCTTCTCCAGAGTGCTCAGGACCTCAGACTGGGCCGAAGGTTCACCTTCCAACAAGACAATGACCCTAAGCACACAGCTAAAATAACGAAGGAGTGGCTTCACAACAACTCCGTGACTGTTCTTGAATGGCCCAGCCAGAGCCCTGACTTAAACCCCATTGAGCATCTCTGGAGAGACCTGAAAATGGCTGTCCACCAACGTTTACCATCCAACCTGACAGCACTGGAGAGGATCTGCAAGGAGGAATGGCAGAGGATCCCCAAATGCAGGTGTGAAAAACTTGTTGCATCATTCCCAAAAAGACTCATGGCTGTATTAGCTCAAAAGGCTGCTTCTACTAAATACTGAGCAAAGGGTCTGAATACTTATGACCATGTGATATTTCAGTTTTTCTTTTTTAATAAATCTGCAAAAATGTCAAAAATTCTGTGTTTTTCTGTCAATATGGGGTGCTGTGTGTACATTAATGAGGAAAAAAATGAACTTAAATGATTTTAGCATATGGCCGCAATATAACAAAGAGTGAAAAATTTAAGGGGGTCTGAATACTTTCCGTACCCACTGTACATTTCTTGCTTTCACACTTTTATTACAAGAATATCTGAAGTGAAAATGTTTCTTTGTTGTTTGCAATCTACACCATCTCTCTCTCTCCTTTATGCACCATGTATGGCATAGCACTATGCCAAGTGAAACTGAAAGTAGGAACTGTTTAGTGTCTGATGAAGCCTGGAGGGGAAGAGGAGCTGAATAGTGTGGAGGGCAGATAGATATTGTTGGGGAAACTCCCTTCTGTGCTAGTTTAGTACATTTTCTCCACTTTTATTGTTCTATAGTCTCAGTAAAGTATTGCACATCTTCCTCCTCTGCATTCACCCTCAAACACACATTTTATTGACGGTGTTATCTGTTTTTAAACATCTGTGTTGTCTTTGCTTACAGAAGGACATGTACCCTGTGCTTGCCTGGCCTTTGCGATTGAGGATTGTTTATGAAATTGCACTTGGGGTTAACTTCCTTCACAACATGAACCCACCACTCCTGCACCATGATCTAAAGACACAGAACATACTGCTGGATGGTGAAATCCATGTTAAGGTGTGTGTGAGAAATTGACATGGTGTGAACTCTGTGAGAAATGGAGATAAACTGTGTGTGTGTGTGTGTGTGTGTGTATGTGTGTATATGTGTGTGTGTGTGTGTGAGAGAGAGAGAGAGAGAGAACTGTTTGAACTCCAGTATCGACCTACAGAAACTGCAGTTAAATTCCTGTGTTACCCGATTAGTCATTTCAGTCATTTTTCAAGCAATATTCCTGTGACTTTCTTGTTTAAGGCACTGAAATGTGAGCAATTGTTGCATCATAGTAAAATGAATCTCCTAGAAACTTGAAGTGTTCAAATAAGAAGTGTGATAATGTCACCTTGTAACCTGGGAAATTATAAGGTTCATTTTTCAAAACATTTGGACAAAATCACTAATATATGAATTAAGAAAATAATCAGCAAATCAGTCCATAATGAAAATAATTGAATAATTGTTAGTTACATCTCTAATTATTACTTATTTGAATAATTGATGTCCACACTTTACAAAAGCCTGTTATGCTAATATAGAAAAATGTGCTTTACCAGCTGCCGCTATAATTAACAGGTCCTTTATCTCACTACATAGTTAATATTCTCTGAACCCTAAATAGTTGCCTTTAATTGATCAAATAAGATGATCAAAGAAAAGCTATGTAAAAAAAAAAAAAAAGTCAAATTCTTAAATCATGCTAATATTCTGGGGTTGTTCTGTGCAGATTGCAGACTTTGGCCTTTCTAAGTGGCGGCAGCTGTCTGTCAGTAAAGGCTCAGGATCCAAGCCCACAGAAATGGGGGGCACAGTGATCTACATGCCCCCTGAGGAGTATGAACCATCCAAGAGCCGCCGCGCCGATGTGAAACATGACATGTACAGGTAAGACAATAATTATAAATTGGTTGGGTGGTACACGGGGTATCAATGACTGCATTCTTGTGTGATCTAGGTATGGATTTTGTAACCGTAACACCAGCTACATCTGCGTATGTTTTATGTACATGATGTTCAAGTGGGGGCGGCACAGCGGATCAGTGGTTAGCTTTGTTGCCTCACAGCAAGAAGGTTCATGGTTTGAGCCCGAGCCACCCTGGGGCCATTCTGTGCAGATTTTGCATGTTCTCTCTGTGCCTGCGTGGGTTCTTTACGGGTACTCCGGCTTCCTCGTAGGGAAGAGTGGGGGGTGTGTGTGGGTGCCCGTCT